CTGTTTTGTTTTATAATGTAGTGAAGTATAGCTCTTCAGCAATACGTGGCGAAAACAATTTTTTAAAAAGTTGCAAAAATACTGTTATTATGCTGATTTGAATACGAGTCACCAATATCACTGTTGTCCACGCGTAAGTCTGGTGTAGTGGTTTATTTGTCTTCAAATCAAGCTCCGGGGCTCAGTCAAGCGGATGGAATAAAGCCGTCCGTGGATAAACAGGTTTGGCACATGACATTTTTAAAACTATACCATATCTCAGAGACAAACTACACATTTGCAATCATTTTTTCGTCACTTATGTTTAAAGATCAATATTTTAATACCATTCAATTGAATTTTTGAAATATGCTCAACAAGTAGGTGAACATTGCTGTCAAAAGTGGGTTTGCTTCTTTTACACCAACCTGTACAAGTACAAAAACAGCATACAGCCAGTGTTGAATAAGACTTTTTGGCAAATTGCAAAAAGCACGGTTTCAAATGACCAAGACAAGTACAGGCCGTGATCAGGAATTATAAAGTTGCTTGAGCAAGGTCAGTACTCAGTTATTAGTGTTTGATGCAGTGATCGAAAACACTGTGCATACACCTCAATCGTTGCTATGAAGCATGTATCATTAAGCGTTGTGGCACTAGAACGTGATGCATGGACGGCTGGAGACGCAATTAGCATTGATTCACGCGGGCACTAATTTTTTGAAGCTCGCAATCGTCTCCGCTTCGTTTAACCAAATCCAATGTGATCAAGGTTGAAAACTACGTCACGCAGACGCCTCATGAATATGCACACTTTTTTGATAGATTATAAGTTATCCGTTATTATAAGTCATTTAAAACAACAGATTGGTAATTTTGGGGTGCGGTGGTCCCTGAAGTAAATTAAATATAGTTTTCTCTAACGTAGTTTTCCCGATCTTAATATGAATCATGTTAATGACGTCATCCCTAGTCTGGTTCCCCACCCCAAAGCGCTGTCACGTGATAAAAACTGGCAGGATCCTGCCCGTTTTCCGGGAATGCCCGAAATTCTCCGAACACGTTTTCGTCATAACTAGATTATGTTCGCGAAAGTTCCGGGATATTTCTGGGTGAAACAAAATGGTTTTATTAAAATAGTTTTGTTTTTGTTTTTGAAAGTGAGGGGTACCTGACCTACGATCTAGTATTATAGACGTCAGAGAATCGTCAGCCTCAGGGAACCAGACTAACATTATCCCTTGCGTTTTCGATACACATTTTGATGGCCGCATAATTGCCAGTCGCCTTGTCCCTTCATCTTTAATAACTGCACCGGGGTTTTTGGTCTTCTCAGGGGCGGATCCGCCCCAGTAGTTCTCAGCCGCGCAATGGCAAAATTTATAGCACCCTTTTTTAGACATCCATCCATCCTTAGAATATCTGCAACGTTTGTGCTACATCTTACAGAGCGTCAACAGCATTTCACACGACGATCCGTGCAACCTTATTAGACACGGTCGATTACCGTATACGCTGCATGAGTCAAATAATGCATTTCTCAAGAGCGCGAGAACTGTACTTTGCGTCTAATAATCTTTAGTTTTTGGCATACTTGGAAAGTGTCGTGATGGTCTCTACCGGCCAGCCGTGTCAAATCAAGCTACCGTCCAATATGTTTACCGACAGAGAGGCTGAACGATCCCTCACAGTTCGAGGTTAACCACCCCCTCCCTCTTTACGCAGCTATAGCTCCGTGGTTATTTGCCTTGTGTTGACAGGAGGAGGTGGGAGATTTCTCACGTCTTTTTCGGCAGGTGTTTAGCTGCGGGAAATGAGGACCCGGGACTGGTGATGATTGAAGTCGTGTCGTGACGTTATTGTCACTGACAAAACCATCTTACTTCAGTAACTTCATCCTCATGGTTGGGACAAGGATGCAATTGACATAATGGCCTCACGAGCTGGCTAGGCTTAGGGGGGGGGGGGGGGGGCTAACCTCTTATCATTTCATATTTTGTATCTGGGTTGCTGCTTCCACCTATTTGTATGACCAAAAGCTCACTTTCTAGCCAATCACGAATAAATATGATCATTTGCATTTATCCCTTAGTAACCTGCCGAATTATTATTAAAAAGCTTACTTGGATTAAAGATCGTACTGGTACCAAACTCCCTGTGAAATATATCCGTCTTGCTTAATGTCATTTAAAAGAAATCAAAATATGTTGGTGATTTCCAACGACCATGTCAATTGACTGGATTTTGGAAATACAGAGTGCTACTGCTATGGACCATCGTGTTTCGTGATTAAAGGTTGTGCACTTTTTCAATGTTTTCTCGGTAAGTGTAACATCCACTGAGCTGAAACTTCAATAAATTTGGAACTTCGTCGGATTTTGAGTGGTTTTATTATTGGAAACGAACAAAATGCATGAAACACAAATGAACCTACATGTCTTTAATGATATCTTATAATAACTCAAAGAGGCTTGGGGTTTGAGATATATAATCGCGTGTGTAAACTATAGGTATATTATTTAAAATATAATACAACGCAAGCAATCAATGCACAGTGGAAAACCTATAGGTAGGTTTCGAACTGAGGGAAATATACTCTTCGATAAAGACCGTATATATATACTAAGTAAAACCGTTATCCCATTAAAGTATCACGTTTTAAGAGCGCCGATGCGCTTGTAACATCTTTGCATTTGGCGAACGTGCTCCATTGAGAATCTCAGATTACTTCGGTAAATTAACTGGATAGTAATTTACGAAGATGGTCCACGGGCGTAGGCGGCACTAATCACTCACGACCGTAACAGATCGATGAACGGAGCGGGCGCAGCGCTGCTTAGGACCCGGTGGATAATGAAAGATCTCCGCTGAAAACGATACTCGTGCAGCGCTGATTGGAGACGTAATGCTGTGGAGGCAATTAAAATGCTGCCGATTGACTCCAAACGAAAGAGTTTGGGTCAGAAAATGTTTTGATTAGAAAATAATCAGAGGTCTTTTGCTCAGGGTTGAATATCCGATGGTTAATTGCAGGGTGTAGTAACACCTGTTAATATTAATTAAGGGATACAATTCTCCCTATAAATCATCATTTGGAAGGTTTTTCACTTTCGAGTTTCTGTCTTATGATCTGATTGATAAAGCCTTCCGTAAAGTGATACGATAAAAGGCAAGTAAAAATAACTATTTTTTTGCTATAAAAGTCGACCAATCAACATTGAGGATTCAAGTAATCTGATTAATGAAAATCAGTGAAATTCTGTAAAGCCACGCCCCTAAAAGGGCACTCACTGGCGGATCCAGAGAGGGGGCGGCAACGGGGGATGCCCAAACCCCGCCAAGTGTTCTATTAAAACAAATAAACCAAACTAAACCAGAAGAGGAGTGACGACAACTGATTTTAACTCCCTTTCCATCTTTACACTAGGGTTACAGATTCGTGAAATATAAACAGAAAGAAAAGGGGAAAAGAGCACCCCCTAGCGTCAATTTAGGTCCCCCCCCCGAAAAAAAATAGTTATGGGTCACACCATGGACACTTGTACTCCAAGATGCCAGTCAAGTTTCATTTTCCGGATGAGGATTTCACAATTTTATTCTCCCCCAAGTTGTTTCGAATTAATTATAAATGCAAAAACTGGAAATGAAATGTAGGCCATGAATTGGAGGTAATAAAATGGTGATTTCATGTGAGTTAAAATTTTGTCCGGAAGAGAGCTCAACTTGTGAGAAATGTTTCGACGCAAGAGGTGCCAACTCCACATCTTTGGTAAGAATGCTTTCCAAATGATGGTCAGAGCTTATGAACCGAAACGTCGAACACACCGGGTTCTTCTCAGAACAATTCTCTTTTTTTTTTTTGGAGACGGTACTCTCTTGTAGAGGTATCATCCAAAAACCTATCCCAAATCTGTATTTCCATAAACAGACGGTGTGCCTCTTAATTATTATCGTAGAAATCATTTTTATTTCTTGAAAAAAATGTCCGCTACCGCCATCACTGGTCAGTGATGCAAACGGATCTTGGGTGACGAGTATTTTTGTCCACGGATCATTTTGTTGCAATCATCATGCGCCTACGAATACCCATGACTCATTTCAAAGGATTTAGGTACAATATTAACAATGGTATCAAATGCACTGAGCGGAGCTATCTAATTTCCTCTTTGATGGCAACCATTGAAATAAATTAAAACGATACAATCAGACCTTTTTCGTGGAATTGTTCAAGTGGGCCGATGGGGGAAATTAGGCGAACACAAGTACAGGTGTATTTTTTTCTGTGGTGATGTCGAAGCCACCAACAATTAGTGACCCATCATCACACTAATATCCGTCCAACGGAAGTCGGCGTACACAATGCTCGCATGCTCCCCGTACGTGAGATGCGTGCGAACCGGGGAGCGGGCTGGGCCAATGCGGCTCAAACCAAGTCCCGGTCGAGTCCGGAAAACAACCTCCGACCTACTTTCAAGGATTTTCTCAAGATTGTCAGGGAAATGGTAATCGTTAGGAATGTGTAACTGGTATTTCCTCTGATTAGTTTTGAGGTAAAAACTAACAGTAAAACCATAGAGCTATATTAAAACCAACTTTTCAGGAATAGGGATTGGAAAGAAATGCCACGTGGCTTTTTGATCATCCGTGTAAAACAGCCTGACAACAAGGATACGGTTGAACGATCAACATTTTCAGGAAGAAGACTCGATGGGAACTTTTGCCTGTGGGTTTTGGTCAAGTTCGTGGCAATAATAATGAACAATTAAAACTCAGGGACACGAGCAAGATCAAGGTAGAAGGTGACTGTTCGAATAGGAAAGCTAAATATTTATTCGGGAAACATCCGTCATTTGTGTCGGTTTTGATTTCGGAATAGGAAACCGTGTGTCATTTTCAGGGTCTATTTTAAACAGGGGCGGATCTAGCGTGCAGGAAACGGGGGGGGGGGGGGTTGACACTTGATGGAAGGGGTTGGGGTGGTTTCGGGCATGTTCCCCAGAAAATTTTGAAATCTACGATGCTTTCTCCTGCATTCTAAGGCAATTTGAGAATATATTTAGGAATTTTGAGTCCAACCTTTCTATGTTTAGCATTCCATGTATATTTTTGGCCCACTTTTACTAATAACATTAGTCAACGTTGGGCTGAACGGAGGGGGGGGGGGGGGGTCCACCACTGTCAAATACTATACAATAATGAAATAAACATATCCAAGCTGGTGAGTATAATTTCAACATACAGATTCTCTGACTGAATTTGTTTGTTTTTGCTGTAAGGATAAAGTCAGCTTATATAAACTAATATTTACAAGTTGATTAGAAATTTAATTGTGTTTTTTTTTTAAGTTATCTTAGAAAAGACGTTTTAGCTTCATTGTCAAACTTTGAACAAGTGCTTTATCGATCACACTCACGCGTTGAGCTACAATTGAGAACGTTTAATGCTTTTTAATTAATTATTTAATCAGATTGTAAAATATTCGGGAAAAAACACATTTACCTGCTTTCATTCCTACTGTTCAAAACGGTAGGGATTATCTTCAAATCATTGTGCACATAATAAGCTTACAAAGGGGTTTTTGAAACCACGGCTTCCTTTGCAGTTTAAACTTCGGTGGATGTTACGCATCTGACTTTGGGGATTTCGGCACATTATAATGTCTGTGATCCACTTTAGGAACATCGATTTAGTACCAGAAGGCATAAGTGTATGCCCTTCTGTTTGCTTTGAGCATTGAAGGCTTTGAAATGAATCCGAGGCCAGAAATGCCGAAGCTGAAACGGAGCCGAGGTCATGAAAACACGCAAAGTAAAACAAGCACTGCAATTCAGATCTATATTATTATTATTATTACTACACATTTTTAGGAAATATTTTAATAACATTTGAAAACCATCTACATTATAATATTTATTGTTATTTACTTTTATTTAATAACAGCCTCCTTCAAATACATATTTCTAGTCAGCATTCCACCCTGAGTGTCTAGTTTGCTTCTCCGTACGGTCCAGGCCGTTGTCTTGGGCGTCGTGGTTCATATCGTCTGTTCATCCACCGAGCTCCAGACCACTCCTCCTGCCGTCTCTGGATCATATTCAAGTTGTTGAAGAACTGCTTCAAGATGGCAGCGCGCTCAGCCCTGGGCAGCGCCGGGGCCAAGTCGCTGCGAGCATGGTAGTCACGGCTCTGGTAGTACGCGCCGCGCATTCTCTCCCCGGAGGCGGCGGCGAGGGGGCGGCGTTGTTGGTTGAACTGCCCCAGTTGTACAGACGCGAGGTCTCGACGCATAGGCGCAGATCTGTACCTCTTGAACGGATCAAGGCGGTTGAACGGTCCGGGCTGGTTCCGTCCTGCAGTTGTGGTCTTCTTGAGGTTGTTGTAAGTAGTGTTGAGGTTCTGCAGCCGCACCACCGCCTCGTTGTACTGCCCCTGCAGGTCCGAGTAGGATTTGCTCCACTGTTGGATGGCGTTCTCGTGGTAGGCCTCCCAGCGGACGTTTGCCTGATACTCGGCCGTCTGTAGCTGCTCTATCAGGTAGTCCTGCTCGGTGCTTCGCTGGCCCGTTTCTTCGAGGTTGGCGTTCAGGTCAGCTACCTCCTGACGCAAGTTGTCTATCTCTGCTTCGTACTGCTTGGTCCTCAGATCCTCGTCACAGTGAGGTTTCTTGGTGTGAGGTAGCGTCTTAGCCTTCTGTCTGCATTCATCCAGTGACACCTAGAATCAAATAAAATAAAATTAATATAAGTTTCGCATCGCATAATTATCAACATTAGAAGTATCTAGAAATTCGCGTTTACAAACGCAGGCTGATCGGGCAGGGAACTATTTCATTGGCCATTGCCCAGTTGACTTGTGAATATTTTCATTTCAAAACAGACCAAAATACACGAATTTCAGCATTTTTAGTAATATACCACCATCAGTTTTAATTTGAAAACTAAGAAATTTCAAATTCTCCCTACAATATCTTCCGGTCTGATGAAGTCATGATTCTGAAACCTTGCAGAGTCATCTGCGGTTATTCAAGGAATACCTAAGGGCAATTTGGTAACATTTTGACCAGCGTTTTATTTTTTAAAAATGTTTTAATTCATTTTCTTAAACCGTCTATATGATGTACTGCTAGAGGGCGTCGTTTCAGATGATGATCGACGTTATCATGCTGTTTTTTTGTGCGTTAGGAATTCCTCACTAAGAACTCCCATAATTTGTTTGTCTGATATTCAGGTTATTCAATTTCCATTGCACTTCAGACTTAATGCCCGGGAATAATAAAAAAATATTGTTTATGTCTAACTGATCGCAAACAATTGTTGTCATATAGTTCAAATTTTTGATAAGTTATAGTTCAAAGTAGTTACTCAAATTTTGACCTTAAATATTGCTGATAATTGGATACTTCATGACGTCACAAACTGTATCACATCTTCGGATGGGGTTCAAGCGCAGTAAACGTTTTATAATCATCCCGTCAACCGTTTTGGAAAATGTGTTAAAAGCAAATTTGTCCTACGCTCACAGAAGGAATATTTGATATACGATGACGTCACGATGACGTTACAAAATGTCCACACTTTTTTTGACAGTTGTTTGTACAAGGTTTCGTCTTATACCTTTTGTCTTTCGTCCCTTAAACCGTTTGTATTAATACTGATGTCCCCTTCGTTCATTGACTCTTACCATTGACTACAACATATTGTGGTGTACTATAAAGGTCACTTATAAGGCGGGCAAGGAGTGACATCGCGTCGCAATACACACACATCACGCCGGGTAAGGACAGACATCACGTCTTTTTAGTGACCTTCATAGTACCCCATTACAACTACATAAAACAATTTATGTTCTTGACATAATTATGCAAGACATAATCTTGTGCTGCACGTAAAACATTATGGTTAAACTCAACAAGATCGATCGGAACTATCTCGGAAGCTGCGGGCCAACGAATTCGTGTTCATGCATGAAAATGCATGATTGTTCATGCATGACTGTTCCATGTAATTTCTAGAATGAGTAGTGTTTTGAGTAAAGCAAAAAATCAGGTGTTTTGTTTTACCCCAGTGACCCCATGATGACCTTTGACCCCAGTTTGGTCATGTGACATGATGTGACATGTTGGGGCTGGGCTTCTGACACTTTTGACAAAGTTTGGTTGAAATCTTTAAAAAAAAATATGCAGGAGCAATGGACAATTTCTACGTTTGTTACTAAACTAACTAACGGGCCAACGAAGGGACATGATGATTTATTGAGCTGCTATCCCGTAGCTAAAAATAGAAACATTATCAGAGTTTGACGGCGCCTTTAACGTCCTTGGAGTTTATTCAACATAAATGCATCATCGTCTAGAAATAAATGATTCGTCACTTCATCAAATCGGTGACGAGATGGATGAAGTCCGAATTGAAAGCTACCCGTTGGAAAAGTCACAACGACACGTAGGGTTAAAGTAACAGCATGCATGTCATGAAACAAAGTGCCCTATTTTTTTTCAAAGACCCGCCAACGAGGTTTATACGGATACATCCTGGTGTAACGTCTTCGAGTGAAGATGGAAGCAACGGTGTTGTCGAGTCCATCACAAGTCCACTTGTCTAAAAATCGATTGAGTCCGAAGCTGTTCAAATGCACTGGGACAAGACCAGTCCAGTGTAAACTGTCCATCCCATGTTGCTTGTGACCGGACTTGCTTGTGAAAGGTCGTGTGATTGAACTTGTGATGAGTTCGACCACAGCACTGGATAAAAACATGAGTTTGCGTCTTCGATTCACCTGTTTAGCTTCAAGTCTACTGATGAGGTCTCAATGATGTCAATCCAGACTAACTTACCAGCGATCCGTCAACGTCGTACACGTGAGTGATGTGGTTTGTTTCCAAGGCGTCTACAAGGCAATCCACGTACATCTCAATCCTGGCGCCCCACTCTTTCAGCAAAGAGGATTCTCCTTGCACCTCCTGAGCAGAAACAGGTAGTGGTTAAAAAACCCCAACAATTTATGCATTCAAAATGATGTAGGATGTACATGTTGGAGTTGCGGTATATGTGTCAAAGACACAATTTTTGGTAATTTTAGTCGGGAACTGCTACACGTTCCGAGTTGGATGATTAGGACATACAAGGTCTTTTTCTACAGGGTGAGTAAAAAAAAAGCGAAACCCAAGTGTCGGAACTATTGCTTTAGTGAAGTTCTGCATGTAGCACTTTCAAAATCTAGGATATGAAAGCCCAATTCATAAGCTTTCATTTAGTACAAGAATCATTCAAATCACTCATGTACTTTTCAAGTTACGAAATTTTAAACACAACCACCGTTTTAAAGTTCTGTCCACGGATCACAAAAATGGTGTGCGTTCTTTCAGCAAAGCGAAAACAATTCACACACATCCCCTATGTCATTGTTTTCGTTTTGGTAGAAGAACACTTACCTTCGTGTGATCCGTGGACAGAACCTTAAAACGGTGGTTGTGTTTAAATTTCCGTAACTTAAAAACTACATAAGTGATTTGAATGATTCTTGTACTAAGAGAAAGCTTATGAATTGGGCTTTCATATCCTAGATTTTGAAAGTGCTACATGCAGAGCTTCACTAAAACAATAGTCCCGACATTTGGGTTTCGCTTTTTTTTTGGACTCGCCCTGTAAAGAAATTGCCTGCAAATGTTCAATGATACACAATGAGGAATTTGGTACAACTTTATTTTTTCAAAGAATGTAGGTCGATCTGATTATCCTTTTTATCACCAACAGTTTACTGAAGGCCTAAACAGAGGATTATGAGCTCGCCGACTCGGGAAATACCCCACCCGAAAAAAGTCAATACATCAATAAATAATACTCTAGGCCTAAAACCAATAACAAACAAGAAACAAATAAAAAGACAGCTTATAGTTATAGCTGACGATGAATTATGAATCGGTCTATCATTGAACTCTAGTTCTAAGGCTTTGTAGATCTATATGATGGGTAAGGCCTAGGCCTACTTACGTTATGCCTAAATGGAACTATTTGTTTGAAATGTATTTTTGCCTTCAACTTCACACAATTAGGCTAGTAGCCTATGGGCCCAGCCTTATCGAGGAAAGTTAATAAAAGGCCGCACCTAGCCCAGGTGGACTCTCGAAGACGTCATTCAACCTGGGCTAGGCTGCACCGAACCCAGGGAGTTCACCTGCAGCAGCTGAACTAGGACCATGAGGACCACACCTGCTGTAGTGTAGGCCTATATGCCCACACAATCATTTTTAACCACTAAATAATAGGGCCTAGATCCATTTGCAGTTTCGCGAAGCCGCTAATTTAAAAGTTTGGGACCCCTCTTTTTTTATCTTTAGCTTGCTCTAAAGTTTTCCCGTTTCTTTTTAGCCTACTTCTTAGGCCTAACGTTACGTGGTGACGGTCATGGGCGTCGCGAGGGGGGGGGGGGGGCAAGGGGGGAACTTGCCCCCCCCCCACCCGGAAAAGCCAAAAAAAAAAAAAAAAAAGGAAGAAAAAGGAAGGAAAAAAAGGAGAAAAAAGAAAAGAAAAAGAGACGCGAAGTCATAGTGGTGTAAATTTAATGAGTTGGGGGGGGGGGGGAGAAGCAAAATGTCCCTGTCCCCCTCTAAAACTTATAAATCGAGACTTTGTTGAGAAATACAAGAATTTTTTGGGAAAAAAATTGTTTTGCCCCCCTCTAGAAAAAATGCTGGTGAGGCCCATGGTGACGGTGCAGAACATAGTAGGTCTAACTGTAGTTTCTAGCACCAGTAAGGGCAAGGTTCCCATTGGTTCCACTCACCTCCAACTTCAACTGAAGATATCGAACCTGCGCCTTCATTTCTTCCGGTCCTTCCTCCCCGTAGCTCTCCGTCTCAACCGTCTCAGCAGGCGGGCCAGCCCCGCTCTCCTCCACCGGTGCCTGGTCAGGCGGCACCAGGGGTAAGTCCCCGTCACTCATAACTCCCTGATCTGCTTCAACAGACATCAGTACTTCGACAAACACAGGTCTTTCTACAAAAACAGTTTAGGTTTACGTTCCACAAATGTGGGTATTTTCTATGACTAAATGACTCAACAACCACCATCCATTGCCACCGGCACCGCCGCAATTCTGAAAATTTCAGGGTATTTATTTTCGTCTGCGCGGATTTGTTGATGATTCCTTAGCGTTCTTTTACACGCAGAGCGCAAAACATTTTTTTTTCTTGGCGCGTTGAAAGCATTTTTGAAGACGCGTACTTTGCGCGCGCTATTCAAGGGCGCGAAATATCCACGTGTTTCCCTCCATACACTATACGTTGTGCCAATCTAATTTCAGGTCGATGCAGTCCAGTTGGACATTTGAATTCAATTTCTGTAACCTGAAAGCAAGGATACTAGCACAGTAGCACTACAAAATAATTATAATATAATTTACAATTGAAAACACCAATAAAATTATGAAATTAAAAATCTTATGTAGGTCTATACTGCATTCGCACATTTTAAAATCAACCAGCGCCTGCATATTGGATGTTTATCTCATTCAATGTTTAGTCAGCACTCAATGAATAAATTAGTTTCTCCATTGTCAACCTTTGGATAGACAGATGTCGTTGGGTAGGGGTGGTGTGATCATTTAAACCCTATGGGACAGGTAACTGAGCGACAATCTGACGTCCAGTCTAAACCAAAAAAGAAGACGACTAATTTCTTGGACTTTAACCGCCAGTCAATTTCCATCTGTCTTCCAAATTACTGCGGACAAAGTGCCTCCTAATCCCGTCTCGTAATGACGTTACATAAAGTCACCGCGGCGGTTGGTTTTATGTTTTGTGGTCTCCACAAATAGTATTGCGAATGTAATTGCCCATCAAGAAAACCCATTAAGATCTGAAATTGGCAAAAGGAAACGGTTATTTCTGTTTTCCACAGGTTATTATCCTTGTCATCATGCAGCCTTCGGCTTCGTTTATCACAAGTCATACACGCGCGTGCAACGCGCTAACACATCGCCGTCACACCTTATCTCTTATTTAATGAGATTTTCTTATCGAACTCGTTGGCAAAAGATACCAAAAAGTATAAGTTGATAGATTGATAGATATCAGCAAACGGAGAGTATATCTGTGATGGATTACCGTTTCCAGACATTAAAACCCTAACAGAACTCAACCCATCAAATCCCAACGGCATGTTTCGTTGGAATCTGTCAGGATAGGTACAGTATACCCCAGTGTTGTAGGACTCGAGTTCAGGACTCGGACTCCAGTCGGACTCGAGTCACATTTTTCGTGACTCGGACTCGACTCGAGACACATTGGAAAATGATTCGGACTCGGACTCGATCATGATGACTCGTGACTCGAGTCACTTATTTTCATCAAAAGAAAAAAAAATATAACGTAGGGATGGGAAGGGATCATTGATGTTTGGATGATAAAACATGGAGGGAATTGGAGGAGGGGTAGGATGGACATTTTTAAAGGAAAACACATTTTTGGTCTAAACAACATGTACACACACAAGGTAAACTATATACACTGGGATTTACTTAAAAAACAGAATGGATGATTGAAAAATAATTTAAAAAAAATCGGCTCAGTGAGAACGTGTCTCGGACGCTGAATTCAGGCCCAATTCAAAACATGATTCAACAACTTTTGATTTGAAATTGAGATCCTAGAACGCTGTTTTTCTCGGAATATACAGCTGAAGCCGAAACTTCATCGGGTTAGTTGTTCAGTACCCTTCTTTAGATTTTGAGCACTTTTGTTGCTTCAAACGAAAAAAATGCACAAATTACAAATGATGGGCTATATCTTTAAAAGACAGAATGGATGGCTGAAAAAGTTTTTTTTTTTAAATGATTAGTTTGGTGAACAACTAAGAACAGGTGACTCGTGACTCGGACTCGGATTCGAGGCTTGCGACTCGAGACTCGGACACGAGGCTTGTGACTCGAGACTCAGACTCGGACTCGACGTTGGTGACTCGACTACAACACTGGTATACCCCTAAACTGATTGTCTTTTACATTGGGTTGGCACGTCTCCAGAATCAAAGTCGGAAATATGTGTGTGCAGTTTCCCATATGGTGTTGGAATTTGCCAGAATGGGTATGGCTCCCGGTAAATTGTGTTAGTGAGTTATTTGCGTTCGCTGTAATTTTCGGAAATGGATCGATTTGGGGGTTAGTATTTTATAGCAAATATTGTTACACTGACTAGCACCAGTTTAAATTTTTGTGTTCATATATGCTGGAAAAGCCAAGCAAAAAACACACACAACTAAGCTGTTCTTGTAATCTGGTTCCCTGACCCTACCTCAGACGAAACGAGCAATTTACAGACATCGGTGAATTGTCGGGTCAGCTGACTTGCACCCGTTCACGGATGTGTAATTTGTTGTAAAAGAAAATGTGGACGAACTAAATTTGGTAAATATTGGAAAAACTCTCCAACGATGGTCGGCCGAGTGGGGGCCCAATTTCATCCGTGCTCAAATGTCACTGGACACCCTGCCTTTGTAAAAGCAAATGGGGAGGGGGGGGGGCGGGCTCAGGACACCATCTTTCAATGAGCTCCCTGTTCAAAACCGATTCATGATCATTGTTAGACAACACGTATCGCTATACGAGTTCAAAGGCACGTTAACATAAACAAAACGGTTACACCCCTATGTTCCGACTGCACATATTCCTATTCCTAACCCTATCCGGGAGTAACTTAGGTTGTCGGAACATAGGGGTGTCGGAACATAGAGCAGTCACCAACAAAACAGCCAATCGCGAAAACGGGGTTTTCGCCAACAATATTACAAATCTTACAAAAGGCACTTTATGTTAAACCCGCTAATCATGCTTTCGGGATTCTCTGCGATTGCCATATTTCCAGGGGGGGAGGCAGACTGGGGGTAGACGATTGTTTATCATCAGGGTGTCATTCGACCCCCCCCCCTTCCCTCCCGGCCTGTCAGTACAAACACCTGTGTCTGCTGTATTTGCTCGTCTTCCTATTGTTGAATGAGCCATCATTGCATCCTGTGTGCAAGTGAATGCAGCAAGCAAACATGAATGATTGATATGCAATGTAACGATTTCGCCCGCTGGTTTTGACTGTTGCAGCTAGCTCGGGAATTGCATCAATATACATTCACGTAACATTTGAGATCTCTCCGCCTTATTTCGACACTTCTATTATAATCTCACATGTCGTAAAAAAAACCAACCAATCTTCAAGTGGTGTCGTTTTTCAAGTTGTTCTTTAATTTGCAGTCGATTGTTTAAAAAAATCCATACATTATGTACACATCGCAAATATGCATTGCTTTCTGAGTAACTTGGGTATATTTTTCATCACCAATTTCCATCATCACCAGAATATAATACTGAGAAACTACGTCGTAGATGGTTACTTGGTGGCGATTACAATTCTATTTCAAAAACATCGGTTAATAAATATTAATTCAATTTTTTTTTGTACAAGGAAACAGTCAGTAGTTATTTGCATTTCAAACACATTTCGTTATAATTCACAAGGTTTAAATCCAACTTAGTATTGCAGTTAACATTACTTAAAAACACATTACAAATTTTGAAGAAAAAATAACTACAGAAAGGTCACACCCAAATCAATTTCCACAAAAATACATATCTACATAATATCAAACACCATAACACTATAGGGATAGGGAAAAAGGAGTGGAGTTTGGGTTGCTCTCCGGGGGAGGGGGGTGCTTGGAAATTATGAATATAAGTTTCAAATAACTCTTTCGAGAAATCGGGAGAGTAATTTTCCCAAAAGTGTTGAAGAGCTAGAAATATTGAGGTAGCATAGCTTGCTGAAGGACATATTACTATTAACACTACCACCTGGTAATAGGAACTGTGCATGTACGTGTGTTCATTAATTCACCCTGTGATATGTCGTGGGCAGACTCAATAGTCGAAGGGAAACTGAATAATTTACATCAATAACACAAGGCCTTGGAGTAATTGATTGAGCAGATCAGACGAAAACCACCAAGGTCTTGCAGGTGGAAAGTCACCTGTTAATACAAAATGAAGCACAAAGGGTGACAATCGGTTGGGCAATCTTTAATGGTGCTGGGCAGAAAAATATAGCCTGGCTAGTTTGACATTCTCGGCAAAAATTGGCCGAGGACCAGTCACAACCAATAGAGACCCCATCTTGTTTTAGTTGGTAACCTATGTGTGATAACGGGGAAACTTTTCTGCTGAGTAAGTCTGTGATGAGGATAGCAGCTCTGCACATTTCAGATTCTAGTGAAACTAACTGCTAAAATGGCAGAGGATCAAGGCTTATTTAATAGCAGATACTTCAGTCTCAGGCTGTGTCCAGATCACTTGGCTGCACACGCGCCTATGGTAGCGGCTGCAGCCACTGGCCACAGACTTGTGTGTTATTTCCTTCCGTGGCCAAGAAATTCGGACGCGGCATTACCTAGCACATTCACGGCCAAGACTAGAGTGACTGTTTATTGTGCATGGAGATGTTTCCATTGCTGTGTGCCAGTTTGAAGCATTTTCTGCTGCCAATTTAGTGTTCTATTCGTCGTGCTTACTCCCTAAGCTCTACAGTTCTGTTAGTAGACAATTGAAATTGGGCTTAACGCAACTGTCAAGCAACATCACTCATGGCAAACTTCAATCTGAAAAGGAATCAAACAGTTAAAACTTTAATAGCAAACCGAATTAATTTTACAAAAAAATGTCTTGTCATCCCTTTTAACTTCAAAAGAAAAAGAGTTACATTAATTTTGATAAGCAAGTTTTGTTAAGCAATACGCATCGCCTCGGGCAGGATTGCAGAGCGCTTGGCAACGGTAGCATTGCTTGTAACCTTGACAACCGGCACAACGAAGGTTCCAAACAGGATGAGTTGACCCTTCCGGATTTGGCTGAAGGCTGCAGGAAGGCGGCATTCTGCCAACGGCGAGCTGGGAAATGGCAAGGTCGCCCATTATAAACCTGTATCACTATGGTCTCCATATATGAGAAGTAAATGATGCTTCGTCATCACTTGCGGTAGCTCCAGGATATTTTTACATGAAAATAAGCCCTACTGTCTATTTTATGATGAATGATGCGGTTGCAAGCCAAATGCTTGCCTACTGCAATGGTGGCAGATTATGGGAAAAACCGGATGGTCAGGTCACATGGTACTTTGATATCGTATGATCGGAACCTCTTAGTCTTAGTAACCGACATTCAATAACTCCAAAACAGAACCGAATAGTTTATTGGGATTAGCACTGGGTCTGAGATTCAGATCTACACATCATGCTGTGGGGCGCTGTGTCAAATGGTTACAGTGTTGGACTCGTGTGCCGTGGTACATGGGTTCGAACCCTGACGGGGAACACGGTGCTTTGTGCTCTTGGGCAAGGCACTTTACTACAATCGCCTCTCTCCATCCAGGTGTATAAATGGGTACCTGTGAAGGTAGAGAACAAATTGTGCTGATCTCGAGCTGCTGCAGAAAAAAGAATGGTCTCATTCCTGATGAACAGGGATAATAATTGTGATGCGCATTTGATCATATTCATATGGAATTGGCAAAATATAAATGTGTAAATTATTAAATTATTATTATTCATTCATGTGAGATCTGATCAATTTTCAATGCTAACTTTACACATTTACTACATCTACACAGACTTCCCTTTTGATAAAAATGTAAGGACTCTATCAGAGTGCAATAAATGAAGGACAATACAACTTGACAAGGAAGTCTACAAACTGACAACATGAGTAGACTCAATCTGCCCTAGGCAGATTTTGTGATTAAATATTGAAGAGAGGGTGGCTGGAGATTTGAAGAAATTTATATCAATAATATCGATTTCTAATCGATATCCTCCATGTTGGTGTAAGGAATTTCACCAGGGTGTCAGGGGATGCGAAGAAATTTATATCGATTTCTAATTGATATACTCCATGTTGGTGTAAGGAATTTCACCAGGGTGGCAGGGGATGTGAAGACATTTGTATCAATAATATCGATTTCTAATCGATATCCTCCATGTTGGTGTAAGGAATTTCTTCAAAGTTATCTCTCAAGTACTTGGAGCTAGTATCTACACTTGCTTCGCGGTCAGCTGGAAAAGCCTCCCCGCCCACTTAATTTGACCCCTCCCCCTCCTGCTCCTGCTTGACTGTATCCATTTTCTCTGCGATGATATAGATTGTTAATCAATATCTTCCATGTTGGTGTAAGGAAATTCATCATTTCAAGTAGTTGGAGGTGGTTATCTACAGCTAGGAAAGCCTCCCCTCCCACTTAATTTGACCCCTCCCCCTCCTCCTGCTTCTGTGCTTGCATTACTGCATCCACTTCATCTGCGATGATATAGATTTTTAATTGATATCCTCCATGTCGGTGTAAGGAAGTTATATCCTTATCTTTCACATACTTGGAGGTGGTGTCTACACTAGCTTCGCGCTCAGCTGGGAAAGCCCCCACTCTCACTATATTTGACCCCCCCCCCCCTGGCTTGCAAAACTGCATTCACTTCATCTGCGATGATATCAATTTTTAATCGATATCTTCCATGTTGGTGTAAGGATCTTATGCTTGCATTACTGCATCCACTTCATCTGCGATGATATAGATTTTTAATTGATATCCTCCATGTCGGTGTAAGGAAGTTATATCCTTATCTTTCACATACTTGGAGGTGGTGTCTACACTAGCTTCGCGCTCAGCTGGGAAAGCCCCCACTCTCACTATATTTGACCCCCCCCCCCCCCCCGGGCTTGCAAAACTGCATTCACTTCATCTGCGATGATATCAATTTTTAATCGATGTCTTCCATGTTGGTGTAAGGATTTTTATCTTTTTAAATACTAGGAGATGGTGTCTACACTAGCTTCGAGCTCAGCTGGGAAAGCCTCCCCTCCCATTAAATTTGACCCCGCCCCCTCCTGCGCTTACATGACTGCATTTACTTTCCCTGAGATGATATCGATTTTTAATCGATATCTTCCATGTCGGTGTAAGGAAGTTCATCCTTATCTTTTAAATACTAGGGGATGGTGTCTACACTAGCTTCGCGCTCAGCTGGGAAAGCCTCCCCTCCCATTAAATTTGACCCCGCCCCCTCCTGCGCTTGCATGACTGCATTCACTTTCCCTGAGATGATATCGATTTTTAATCGATATCCTCCATGTCGGTGTAAGGAAGTTCATCCTTATCTTTCACATTCTTGGGGGTGGTATCTGCACTAGCTTCGCGCTCAGCTGGGAAAGCCTTCCCTCCCACTAAATTTGACCCCGCCCCATCCTGCGCTTGCATATCTGCATCCGCTTCTTCCGCGTCTTTCATATTCGCGCCCTCCCCCTCCAGGGCAACCTTCTTCAGCGAGGGAGCGCTCTGAGCAGACTCGCAGTCCATGGGTGCATCGGCAGTCAGTGGGCGGGGCATATCGTCATTCAGGGGGAGGGGCATGTAGGGGATGTACGGCTGACGGAGGCGGTAGAACAGGAGGTACGCTGACTGGGTGCAGACGTTCTTCTCGGAGATCTGCGACACGTGGCTGTCATCAAACAGACGCCAATCTGCAAACAATCAGGAAAAATTAATTAATTAAATCAGTATTAAGATTTTATTCAAGTATTTTAAAAATCTTTCCAGTACAGAGAGATACTAATCTCACTTGCTGGGCACAGAGAACTTGATACATTGACGTTCATTGCATATTGTTTCAATTACATCAAATTAAGGCAATTACTTCTGCAGTCAAAAGAGTTAAAGGAATGGAGATTTGTATCAAGAGTGTGAAATAAATGACTGGCTAAAACTTGACTTGCACTTTGTAATTTGAAAGTCAGTATACAAAGACTCAGAATATCTTCAACCAAAGCAAAACAAGTTATCCGTGGATCGGACGTGTTGCCTTTTTCGCGGTCGATCCCTATATGCTTTGTGTTATTAAAAGAAGTCGAATTTTGTGCATTTTTAAACAATGACCTCAATTGACCTCCAGATGGCCTTTGACCTCCAATTTCGGACCAGACAGAGATATAGTCATACTGAAGTTCCGACTGATATTGGGGGACACTTAAAGTGTCCCCCCAAAACTTTGTTAAGGTGAAACAAAAATGAACAAACAAAAATGACAGAATCATAAACTACTATTAAACTATAAAAACATGAAAATGAATATAAACTATTACAAACTGCTTACTGACTGGATTGACCTGAAATATTCAACTCAAATTGATCAGACGGCCTACTGTTTGGGTACAAGCAGGACCATGGGCTTCGCAAGGGGGGGGGGGGGCAAGAGGGCGCTTTTGAGAAAGGTCCTGCTAATACCGTATCGTTAAGCCATCTATTTTGTTGATTATAAGCCATCCCTCTCTGGCTGGCAATTTCAACAAGGTCAGCCCAGCACTCAAAATAAATCAAGTGACTGTTTCTAACAGTTGAGTGTTCCCTGCCTTCAAAGAGCAGGATTGACTGGCTGTGATTGTTATGAAACCTGATATAGCTAGGCTTTGACTGTAGGAGATTGATAAGCCAGCTGTGCCTACCAGTCACCTGCTTATGTCAGTTGATGGAATGGGACTGTCACATAAGTGCCTATAAGAAACATGATCTGACTGTAGGTGACTAGCCTGTGTACCAAAAGGAGGGTTTTAAACTATTAACCCTCCTATGGAAACATGCATTGTCAGCCTGGTTTCTTACTTGCGTCAAAATTGGTCAAGACCCCCATTGGTTTGTACACAGTATGCCAGGAGGTGAGATACAAACATTTTGACCATTGGCGGCCTCTTAAGTAGTAGGAGGGTTAAAGAAAATATATACTATATGTGTAGACATGTACAACACTGGTCAGTATTTTATTTTACAAAAAGATAAATTTCACTTTCTATTTTGTTTTGCAATCTATCTTCATTGGAGAAATTTATCAAAGGCCACCAATATTAGTAAAACAACAAACATCACTAAAGTTGAATATTGCCAAAGGTAACATGGCCCAAAAAAAACCCTGAGGGAAAACACACAAGGTTACTGGTGCTACGTGTCGGTTCACTGTGATAAGGGTAAAAAAACTGAAAATAAACCAAACACAACAAACACGGTCGTTAATCACTATCAGGATGTCCTGCCAGCTGTGGAAGGAAACTGCAAGGAAACCAAACGATGGTCAAAGTATTGTTTGGTTGGTTGGTGCGTGAGGGACCTGTAACCAGGGAAAGTGTCCACAAACCGCGGGCGCATCGTGGGCCATCGACCTTGTCAGCAGTAAACAGGGTTTTGTAATTGCAGGGCAGCTAGTGTTGCATCGAACCCACGACCTCCGGCTTACAAAGAACGATTGCAGCGGTCAATTAAAAACCCTAACTGCCCAGGCGTTAATGCTTGGATGTAACCTCAATCCTGCAAAATCCTCCAACCGCCTCCATTCAAAAATTGCATATAGCCTCAATCCTGGAAAAAATTCTCCCTTATTTGATGAATGTGGTCCTTGGAGGGGCGACCACTGCTTCAATCCTGCAAATTTCTCCAGCAATGCACTCTCAATATGTTGAGGCAGAGCCAGTGACATCCTGGAGCAGTGCGGAGGATTTCAAGTATAATGTAAGCATAAATTTATGCACGGCTGAGCATAAACAACACAAGGTCCGGCCCAACACCTTGACACAGTGCATCCTCCAAAATCAGCAAGACACTTTTGCCATGTAGCCTCAATCCTGCAAAATCCTCCATTTTGCAAAGAGGAGTTTGATTTGTCAATTCGAATGCAGTGTTTTGTAATACAACAACAACCGGGCGCATATCGCATACCATGATACAGAGTGCATGACACAGGTTTTTTTTTATCCATGTCTATGACGTGCAACGGGTGAATGACCGAAGACCCGATATAGAAAGCGCCCGCTGATTGGTCAAAATCTAAGGGCAAGATGCGGTTGTCTTGCATAACTAATCAACGAATCTGTTCAAAAATGATAGACTACCGAAATGGCAGCATCGAGCTGTGTACTCCCCAGGGAGCTGAGATGGTATTCGGAATGTTTCATCGGCCCAATGAGCAGGGTAAGAACAATGTAGCATCTTGAGCACCAATACTGGTGGATATTATAAATGCACATTATTATTAAAGCTCAAAAAATTGAGGGCGCTAGTTTATTATGTCTGTGCAGTTTCTGTGACAAATTCCCGATCCCTCCGTGAGGAAATATCTGTGCTTACCGTATTCGTTCTTCTTCCAGCTTTCCCGGCTAGGCAGTCTTGCCAAGGCGGTGTAATGCCCCCCTAGAATACCCCCGTGATGGTTGATGACGCCATACAGGTCATAGATGGGTGGTACCGGGCCCTTCAATCCGTGACAGTAAGGGGTTAAGTCTAGTCCCCTAAACAGATTTAAAAACATTATAACATTATTTTGAAGTAACTTTCGTAAGACAGCCCAGGATCTGGATTTAGGTGAAAGTACCAGTGGGTCAGGGGTGAGGATTGTTGGGATGAAATATATCCTCTTTTGGCTGATTCATAAGAACAATGTGAAATCCAGATATCCTTATCCTTCTTTCATTTGTCATCTTCATAGGAAAAAAAGCAAGATTTTGAGGAAGTATGTTGGAATTCTTAGTAGCAACTCTACTAGGTAAGGATAAAGCTTCAACATAAACAAAACTTATTGTTCCTGGCCCCCAATTGCATTTATTTTTGGCAGTGAAATTCTGTCAAACATTTTGAAGTCAACCACTTGTACTTGACCAAAAAAATAAATGATTTAAAGAAATGGCAATTTTCTTTAACATTATTTTCTGGTACTATAGGTCTCTCAAATGACGTCATTTCCTACAGACCAGCCACGTGCATCGGCATTTTGAACGTCAATTGCATAGCGTGCATTAGCTGCATATTTCAAACACATTTCGAGCAACAAGTGCGCATGTTTGGAATATTTTCAACACTGCACAATGCTTGCTTGATTGTGTAAAATACGCAGTTCTCGTACAGAGATGGCCGTCTTAAGATTTATTCACATTTTCTGCACTTTTGGTTTTTTTTAGCACCAGCTCTTATGAATACAAAATTGTAACCTCATGCTACTTAAGTTGCTCAACAAAATGTTCTGGTCTAACGGTATGTAGATCTAATACTTTTTCATTTTGTTGTTCCAAGCAACAAAAATGCCCAAACTCTTAAGTAAGGTGCATAACATTTAATCTGTTGAAATTTCAGCTCAATGGATACTGTACATTTTCAACTGGATTCCGTTGCTAATACACGGTAAAATCACCTTCAATTATTTTGTTCTTCCATTAGATATAATTTCAGGTGGACTTAATTCACACTTTGAGTAAGTTTTTTATCACTTAATTGCTAGGTTCCTTTCTGTATTATTATCAATGTTTGTACAGGGTGTCTTGAAAAAAATGGTGCATGTAAAGCCCTCCATGTTTGCTTATTTACAACCAAAATTTTCTGCGAATGTTTACACCATCTTCAAGGTAATAGATTTAGCTTGAGAATACCGTTTGTTTAATTGAGATTGCTTTTGTAAATCCAAAGATATGTTTGAATAACTGCAAAGCCAAGAAAACCATTTTGTGCCACTTTCTGTGAAGCAGTTAAAATCAGTATAGCCCTAGTTTAAAACCAAATCACTTTACTGTTCGTGATTTTAACATTTTTAAGCAGAGTGTGAAATATTCATTTATATTCAATTAAACTCTTTCATTGAAGTTTTAAAGAAGTGAACCTGTCTGTACTATTAAATTGTTTCAACATAAGAACAAAACCCTATATTGTCGTGTGAATGGAATGTTTGTCTTACACCCACAGGGACAATCTTATCAAAAGAGCCATACTGGCATTGTCTGATCTTTGAAGCACTCGCTTCCTAAAAGTGGCACAGAATGTTTTTTTGTTTTGGCTCTGCGGTTATTCAAACATATCTCTGGATTTACAAAAGCAATCTTAATTAAACAAAGAGTATTCTCAAGCTAAATCGGTAACCTTGAAGATCGTGTAAACATTTGCAGTAAATTCCGGTTGTAAATTGGCGAAAATGGCGGGGTTTACATGCACCATTATTTTTAGGACACCCTGTACATACCTTTAATAACAGTTTTTCAATGTATGAAGCCCTCTTTTAGTCGATTATTATCAATTCTGAGGTTTCAGGTTTTACCTGATGGGGTAGCGGACCAGCTTGTCGATCTTATCTCTCCAGATCATGTTCTTGAAGGAGAAGCGTTTGAGCTGGATGATGAGGGAGGAGGGAAGCCTCCAGAGAGACATCTGCTTGGTGGCTTCCCGGTGCTCCTTGCACTGAGGGCAATACCTGTGATAAGAGGAGTTGAAGAAATGTTGAAAGAAAGCTGTAGATGTAGAAAGAGGCAGAGGGGTTTGGGAGATGCATAGGCATTTACTATGTCTCGTCTTATGTCAGTCTCTCAGGGATCAGTAAATATATAATCTGGGAACAGTCTCAGGATTGGGACAGATATTGGGGTACAGAATACTTGACTGAACTAGAATGGCAAAGCCGCCATGGCTTGCTGTCGAAGGCGGGAAAGGAGGCTGAAGGTAGAAATGGAGATGGGTATGATGGAAAGGCATCAGGATTCATGATGATGTGCCAAGGTGAAAGGGTCAGGTTTTGTTTTATATCAACATAAAAAGTCAACAAATGTCCTTACACGTGTGTACATGTACCACATCACCACCATCACCACGCTTCCCCCCACCCCTACCTATCGCCGCCCCACCACCTACTCCAACTCCATCCCCTACCCCAACCCCATCCACTCCAACCCTCCCCTACCCATCCCCACCCCAAGCCTACTCCCACCCCACCCCATAAACCTAAAAGATCAAACCGGAAGCACGTGTACACACATGAATCGTGTAAACATTTGAATCATGTAAACACATGAATGCTCTCCCAAAATTACATACATAGTACATATTGGAAATTAATGCATGTACATGTACGTGTACATGTAATACTGGTATAAACACGTAACAATTAAAAACTTTAACATTTTCTTAAATTAAAATTCTTCAATAAATAAATTCATAAAATTTACAAGGCAATGAACCTCATTGGAAGTTGTATGGCTGATTAACTGCTAGAAGAAAAACTTCATCATTTAAATCTGGAATGAGGATGGTCATCTCCAGCAGATGGGAGTTCTGGGGTACTTGCGTTGTTGTCCTTTTATCCCTCTCCTTTAGAATTTCACTTCTGGGGTACCGTTTTTCTAAGGGTGAGTAGTGGGCTAGCATTGTTCCCTAAATTTCCCTTCGTACGAGTACCCCACAAGTTGCTGTGGTAAGTATGGACGGATGTCCGTCCGTATTCACGGATGGAAATTGGTATTACATAGGCTCAAATCTGTTTTGCAACTTGCCAAAAATGCCGGGTACCTGGTATTATGTGGGGGAAAAGGGGTGGGGGTTGAGAGGAGCTCACCATGCTTCATCTGGTGTCAGTCTCTCCGGTTCAGTGAAGAGGTTCAGGCAATGATCAATTGTTGTACTCTTCTCTTCTTCATATAATTCATACACTGAATCATCTTCCTCATATTCCTATGGGAAGCAAGAAATAATAATAATAATAATAATAATAATTTGGGAGGCTAATCATTCTTACTCGCAGCTGGTATGCTGAATTGCGAAGGACGCGGCTACAACGTGGTCGGGCCGCTGGCATGTAAAGGCGCCTATAGCTGCTGGCCACATCGACCCATATGTGACCACGGAGCACAGCCTGAGATCGAAAGTGTTTGATTTTTCCGGAGGGAGGAAAACCGGAGGGCCCGGAGAAAAACCCTTGTGGCACAGGAGAGGACCAACGCACAACTCTACTCACATGCAATCCGCGGCCAGGATTCGAACCGTGGTCACCTTGGTGAGAGGCGAGCGCTTTACGCACAAGCCACCCATGCCACCCAAAGAAAAAACCAAAAGGCAATGTTGAGCAAGGTTCTAGCCAGAGGGTGTCTGGTCATCTTCTGGATACTCTCTTGGCTATTTTGGACACCCAATTTTGCAAGACAAATTTCCGTAAAAGCGTCTGCCATCAAAGCGCCATCTAGGTACCAGTGTTGTAATTGAGACCAGATAGCCCAAGACTGAGACCAAGACCGAGATCTGGAGTTCCGAGACCAAGACTGAGGCCAAGACCTTCAAGAGAGACCGAGACCGAGATGGTCTGAGACCAAGATTGAGACCGTGGAGTGTACAGAGAATAAATGTAAAAAATAATAACAAATTAATAAATAAAAGTTCATTGCATGTAGACATTTAGTTGAAACTGTAACCTTTTTTACTGACGTTAGAATATAGCAAGGCGCAAATCACAGAAAAGAACAAATATGGGCCTGTCACACCGCAGTGATAACTACATCGAAAACAAGACAACAAATCTAAATAATGTTGGTCATGATAACCAACAATACTGAACGAAAACAACAGAGGCAATGAAATCAATATTATGAGTGATAAATACTGCATATTGCTGGTCTCGACTTGAGACCAGCAAAAATATCGAGACCACAGGGTACCGAGACCATGACCACAGGGTAGCGAGGTCAAAACCGAGACCAGCATTAAGTGGTCTCGAGACCGGTCTCAAGACCTACATCACTGCTAGGTACTGTGCCAGCAACAAGTCCACAGTCAAGGTCACTTCACTAAGTATAAAGAAAATAAACCAATAAAAGTAATTCTGGCAATTTCAAGTTTAACATTGCTGGAGACCCATGCGAAAGGGTTACAAACTAGAGACTAAAATGACATGAGTGAGTTGTTACAAAAGTTTACCAGGGATTTGGACTCCACCAGGACGTGATTCTGCTGTTTAGGATCGTTCCTCCAGTCCATGGCTAGGAAGTTGTATTGCTTCAGATCGATTGGATTATCACCTGTGATTGGAATTAAAAATATAACAAAGCCCGATTTTAACTTTTTGATTTATTATGTTTTCTTTGTTTAACATTGTACCATGATTTATGTTTTATGTTTAAGCATTCCTCGCCTCATTGTCTAAGCAAAAACAACTATGATCATGGAGTTAGTTTTCCATGGGCCCAGATATGACCCTTTCCCAGGCTGAATGATAATTTGTTATTTTTGTATTTTTCCGGTGATGAAATCAAATACCCCTCAAAATTCAAACAAGGCACCGTACTTCACAAGTCTGAGGAACTCTGTTAAGAAAAAAAAAAAAAAGGCTTGTTTCATTTTGAGACTTATTGCATTGGATGGGGAGGGGGGGCCTTGATGTTCTGGGGAAAACCCAAAGAGTCAGGTACGGATTGGAAGCGAGTTGTAACAAGTCACTGAATTTTATGACTTGGGTCGAGTTGAGTCATTTCAAGGAATTGACTCGAATCGAGTCATTAGGTGGAGAAGGTCGGGTCGAGTCGAGTTGAGTTACAGTGTGTGGTCGAGTCGAGTCAAGTAAAATTTACGCTGGAGTCAATTCAAGTCAATGACGTTTCAATACCATCTAATAAATTTCAGAAAAGAAGAAGGAACTCACGGCACCAGTTTATTATGAAGATCCAAAGACTTAAAATATGCTGCATGGTACCCAATAGACAGTTTCTGCTCACGTTTCTACCAAAGAGCTATGTAACACTTATAACAAGAAATGAAACTTCGGTTTTATCTCTGGTTTGGCTTCGGATCTGGAATAATCTTGCTGTATTGATGCGCCGATGCAGTAGTATTATCGTGCAGACCTTTGTAAGCAATCTCAGCAGCAGCTTGAGAGATTTGAATGTAGGCATGTTTGGCGGTGGGTTTCTTTAACGGGTACCCCTGTTTTTGCAATCGGATACCTGGTTCCTGTACTACCCGTAAATACACACCCCTAGTTTTACGTACCCTTGTCGCTGATACGTTCCCCTTGGGGTTTGATCAGTCCATACCCTGACATGTTGACTGGTTTGATGAAGAATGGCGGCATGGTCCTCTCTGGTAGCTGGGGCTGACCGTGAATGGTAGCTGAAAAAAAAAAATAAAAAAATAAATATCGAAATTATCTCGGAAGCTGCAGGCCAACGCATTTGTGTTCGTGCACGTGTGATGTGATTGTGCCATGTAATTTCTGGAAGGAGTAGTGTTTTCAGTACAAACATCAGGTTTTTGACCCTAGTGACCCAATTTTTTCCAGGACTGCATAAATTGGTAGGCGGTCAGTGGAGACCCATTAAAGTGAACTACAGAGGGCCCGGGCCTGAGGGAGGAGTTGATATATACCCGGGCCTGAGGGACGAGGTGATTGATAGCCATGCAAGGCTGTTGTTGATGTTTGTTACTAACCAACCAACCCACTAACGGAGAGACACAATGACTTGTTGAGCTGCTGTCTGCAGCTAAAACATAATAAAAATATTGGGCTGACATTCGTACAACAGAACAATCTACACATAAGCTTTATGTTTTTCAAGGCCATTATTTACTCTTCAGAGTTGGACAACTTTCGAGGTATAGGTAACAACTTGCTTTGATAATGGTTAAGCAGAACAATGAGTTTGGAGACTTTGCTGATTGATATTCAGTCTATACTTTATTCTTTGGAGTCAGGTTCCCAGCACACTTCATCGGAATAGTTTGTCACTTGACTTGAGCTGGAATGATTTGAAATGAGGACTTGTGATTGTCATTGCGATTGACTTGTGACATGTGTGATGAATTGTGACGACTTATGGAAGCTTGTGGTTGACTTGTGAGGACATGTATTGTCTTGTGGTTGACTTGTGAGGACTTGAGATTGTCTTGTGAGGACTTATGACTGACTTTTGAAGATTTGTGAAGACTTGTGGTTGACTTGTGTGGACTTGAGATTGTCTTGTGCGGACTTGTGAAGACTTATGCTTGAATTGTGAGGACTTGAGATTGTCTTGTTGACTTGTGAGGACTTGTGAAGACTTGTGGTTGAATTGTGAGGACTTGTGATTGTCTTGCGGTTGACTTGTGAAGACTTGTGGTTGAATTGTGTGGACTTGAGATTGTTTTGTGGTTGACTTGTGTGCGAACTTGTGAAGACTTATGTTTGAATTGTGAGGACTTCAGACTGTTTTGTGGTTGACTTGTGAGGACTTGTGAAGACTTGTGGTTGATTTGAGAGGACGTGTGATTGTCTTGTGGTTGACTTGTGCGCATTCAAGATTGTCTTGTGTTGTCTTCTGAGGACCTGAGTACTCTGACATGGAACCAATTTGCTCAGATTCTCAAATTATCCACATCAATCATAACTTTTACGACCATTATTATTGCATTCTTATACTTAAATAATTGCAACCTTTACCCACTCTCCTTTGCTCCTGAAAAGTAAACAGTGCAAACCAGCACCCGATTTCATCAAACTCTTCGTAACTTATGATGCATCATAGCGGTGCAATCTCAGCTCGAAATTTGTTAAAACGTAAAACAAAATGGCGGCCGTGCGATGCAATTTTGAAGGAAAACAGGCTCGCAGTGGACTGTATAGCTACTTTGAAATTTCAACTGCAATATTCCAATCTAATTCATAATTGTTCAATGAATTTTCTATTTGCAACTTTACACACATTGCCTCGGTATTATAATCTCGTTTATGTAATGTTTATGGCATAAAACTGGCTTAGAAAATGACTTTTCTTATTTTGCGATGACCATTAGACACGTCGTAACTTACGACACGTTCAACACATCGCAATTTTCGTGAAATGGATGATACGACGCGTCGCGAGTTGCGACGTGTTACGCGTTGTAACTAGAGTTGCAACGCGTTGCAGCGCTTCGTGAAATCGGGTGCAGGAGATAAACATTTGTCTAAAAAAAATTTGTGCTTTTTACCTGTTGTGACACCATCGCTTGGTTTATGCTTCATGTTTTCCTCACTGGTCGTCTCAGTTTGCTCGGTCGAAGAACCACTTCTGCATTCTTCTCGCATGGAATCCTCTAGTGTCACCCTGCCCTCTCCGCCCGAATCCACCCTGTCTTCGGAATGGACCAGTCCGGCTGCATCACCCTGGCCCCTGACAATAGGGCTTGACTGGGATGTTTCAATTGTGTCTGTGGGTGCCGTGGAGCCGGGAGGGGTGGATGGAGTGGGCGGCTTGCAAGTTGCCGTCACCGGTGGCTGAAATATATTTGTGGAGTACCTGAAATTGGAAATATAAGGAAAAACTCCAAACTCAAGAATCAGTTTTTCAAAGTTAACAAGAAAAGTAGTGTTAAAAAACACAAATGCCCTGCAATCATGACTGTTCCCATGACATGACACCACTATTTTAACATCAGTCAAGAAATAACGGATGATTTTAGAGGATTGAAGGTGAATCCAATTTTTACATGGTGGCAATTGGAGGATTTTGCAGGATTGAGGATGGTTCCTAGGGCCTAGGCGGTTAGGATTAACATTTGTTGAAAAGGTGTGAACATAAAAGCGTAACGAAAACCGCAGCACCCCTGAGGTTCTACAAAGACTGCCCTCACAGTTCCTGTAGAAGAATCTTTTCGGAACTGTGAAGTTTCATTTTTCACTTACAATCCACAGCATTTACCTACTACACTGCCCTGTAAACATAGCCATAAAACAGGGTGAGTCAGATTGACCTGGACCAAAATTAAAGAAAATATTTTAAAAATGTAGCAATTACCAAAACAAGTGCAAATGAGATATGTTATAGGTTGGTATTTTGGACATATTTGGTGAAAGTTTCATGTATATCCATTGTACCATTTTGAAGAAAAGCGCTAGCAAAGAACACACGCTAAAAAACCACTCTGACCACGGTTCCATGGCTCAACAAATCGATAGAAATCGCGTACTGATGTGAAGCAGTGTAATGATAGATAAAAACCTAGTCATGGTGACTGACTCACTTGAAGTTATTGACACATTTAAAAAAAGGCACAACCAATTCTGTGTGCAGACTGAAAAATAAGCCACTTCAATGAAAATGGCATAACTCCTCACCACAGCCACTAATCTGAAAAATTAAAAAATTCCTGTGGAAGACAAGGTAATAACCATTCATATGAAACACTCAGCTTTTTCTCAATATACTCTAATTTCCTCAAAAAATGGTGAACTTGGGTTCAGATCATTCTGATTCACCTTGTACCTATCACATAATAAAAATAGGTTGCAAGGGATGATAATAATAAAATAAAAATAGTAATTTGGGAGGCTAATCATCCTTACTCGCAGCTGGTATGCTGAATTGCAAAGGACGCGGCTACAACGTGGTCGGGCCGCTGGCACGTAAAGGCGCCGATGGCTGCCGGCCACATCGACCCATATATGACCACGGAGCACAGCCTGAGATCGAAAGTGTTTGATTTTTCCGGAGGGAGGAAAACCGGAGGGCCCGGAGAAAAACCCTCGTGGCACAAGAGAGAACCAACGCACAACTCTACTCACATGTGATCCGCGGCCAGGATTCAAATCGTGGTCACCTTGGTGAGAGGCGAGCGCTTTACACACAAGTCACCCATGCCACCCAAAAGAGATGAGGGTTAATTTTACCTTGCGAATGCCTCCATGGCTTGACACAGCCTGGCGTAGGTACAGTGGGAAGCGGGCAGACTGATGACAAAGGGACAGCCGACGGGCTCCAAGTCTCGTCGGCAGGACATCTTGTGGGTCGGCCAGTGCTTCTTCTGGCAGTTACTATATGGAAACCAATTGAAGAAAAATATAATGAGCTCAAAGATCTCCAACTATTGTGTGTGGGCTTGTAAGGGCTAAAGTTTCGGACTTGTTCGATTTCTTGTTTAACAGTACTATGGTCAATGACTTGCAGCAAATTTGTGAGAAAATACCTCTAATTTTTTTTTATGATAATGAACTCATGTGAACTGGGCCCAATTTCATAGTGCTGCTTAACAGCCGACTTTGTGCTTACCAAGCCTCCATCTATTTCATAGGGACCATTAAGCAGTAAGCACAGCAAAAGCACACTTAACCCCGGAAGAAACCTTTGCTTAAATCAGTGACGTAACAATAGAATCTCCATGCGCGCGCAACCGTTAGCATGAAATAGTGCTTAAGCAGCAGCATGATTTTCTACTATAGTAAGCACAACTTTTCTGCTTACTGTTAAGCAGTGCTATGAAATTGGGCCCTGATTAAACTTCACGCAGCTGACTGACTGATCGACTGACTGTCACTTGTGAATTGGACTGGTTACCTATCTCAATGACCGACTGTCATTTGTGTCTTACATTGGTCTATTTTGAAGGCTTAAATATCTAGAGAACGACAGGCCCGATTTGGTTGAAAATTGGTGTGTACCTAGACCGGGATGTGTTGCGTCACGATGACGTCATCACATGAAATGTGACATCATTTTAAATGTGCAGTCTATAAGATGACCAAAAATACAACAACAAATTGCCGAAACAGCCATGTGTTTGTCCACAAACATCTAGTCAATTTCCATCATGTTACCACTGCAGTTTTAAATTCTATAAACTTTTTAGACATTCTGAATCAATTGTGCAAGAATTTTGTGCGCTCTGGGACCGCCTTTGCTAGGCTTGCATTTTCAGACAATACCTTTCTCCAGGTACATTTATATAATATTGGATGGCTTTGAGGTGGATACAAGAATATATTGCACGAGCTATAACAATATTGCACGAGTCGAAGACGAGTGCAATATTGTCATAGCGAGTGCAATATATTCTTGTATCCACCGAAAAAAGCCATCCAATATTATTATTATTATTTATATCAGGCTGACTTGATCCGCAGAAGCACAAGTTTACATCAAACGTTTTGAAGCTGCCACTGTAATCGTTAACAACAGTGCGCGTATGTCACAAAGTGTGATTTATATTTTTAAATAATGTTTCAATTTTTGTATTTATCATTGTGTTTAATAATGTAATTAATTATGGGATTTTCACTTATACATTTATTTTAGCACAAGTTAATTTAATTCTCCCCCATCCAGAATTGAGGCTACCCAGAGTGTACAGCAGAGCTAAATCTTTCTTATGCAAATGACAGTATGCAAATTAATGCCATGGTTGAGTACTTTTGTTAGGACTTGGATGCCATGTGCATTCCCCAGGGCACTGCTATTCTAGACTTCGCTGTGTGCAGTCCTGTGTGCAGTCCTGTGTGAGTACATGTACATGTACATGTATATACAGTGGTACTGTGTGTACCAGGGCGTGGCCCATGATTTAAAAAGCCAGTTTATCCTGCAAACTGTAAGTTTTATTTCATCCTGCTTTATACAATATAATTCAGTAATAGAAGTGCATAGTACAGAAATTATGAATATTTTGGGAGAATAGTGATAGTCCAGAAATGGTGCATTTTGAAGTTAATCTTTAGAGATTGATGTATAGAATTGCCTTTTGTAATCAAGTTTATTTTCATTAAAATTTATATAGTTGATGAAGTAAGATAAATTGTAAGAATTTTTGAAGATTTTGAATGCCATTTTCATTCCAGAAATTTAGCTTGAGCATGGAGCGAATGTAAATTTGATCATAAGTCGGTAGGCACTCTAATTTTCACTGTGAATTATGTTTAACCTTTTTTTAAAGGGCTTTTCCCTGTGGGAATAGTGAATTCCTAGGTTCTTGGTGAACCAGATAGCTTGTTCTGTGTGAACAACAGTAAGTCAACTCCCAAGACTAGCTCACGGTCTACCGAGAGAGTCAGGAGGAAGATTCGGAACCGAGTCCTGTGTGGACCAGGCATCGAGCCAGATTCCAAGGCCCGGAGAGGTCACCCAAGTTCCCCAAGCCCGGAGTTCATCCGCCTTAGTGGGATCGTCAAAGCGCCGGAGGGATGTTGTGTGTGTGACTGGTGCTCCAAATCGACCACCCGTGTCACAAGTGTGAGCTTTGAACACAGCAAGTCCTTCAAAAGGTTTTGAACAGTGACTGTTTAGGGGGGTGATTGCATTTGTTTTGGGGTATTGGAAACGGCCGTATAACACATAATACAGGATCCTTATAATGCCATGATATAGTTGAGTATCCGTCACTCAAAGTATAAGTAATTCATATAGTGGCATAATTCAATTGAAATAATTTGTACATAGTAAATTTCCGTTTGTTTAATATATTTATTTGTCGTAATTAAATAGTATTTTGTCTTGATCATACACATTTTGCCGTCCGGAGTTTGATTTTCTGTCCTGCTGATTTGTCAAATATATCCACTACTGTCCTCCATGGGAAAAACAGACCCATGGTGTGACAGCGTATACCTGGCCTTCTGCGCGCTGCATGCGCGCGGCGTGTTCCGCGTTCGACGGTACGCGCGCGCTACGCTCTGTTGAGTGGTTGACAACTGTGACTTTCTATGCTCTTGATCAAGCGGGAACCTGCGAAAATGCCCGGATTGACTGCAATAACAATGTTATTGCAGTCAACTTTTTATGAAAGCATACAATATGCTGATTTATTTTACCGCCAGAAGCCTGATATAAATAATAATATGCAATATCCCAGTGGGTTCAGATTTGCAAGATTGCTATCAATCTACTCACGGGTCACAGTATCCCGCTCTGTAGCATTTTGTGCAGTGTTTGAGGGAGTGGTCTGATTCTCTATCCTTCCTGCAGTAGGAGCAGCGAGACACTGGGGCTGGCATCATCATGCGCTATGGAGAAATATAAACAGAAAAGTTAGCATTGACAAATTGGAGAGTATTAAACCTTCCACTTCCTTGGGACTGCAATGCAGGCAAAAAAAATGCCGTTTCAATGTCCGTGTGGTCCAAACTCCCAAATTCATGTCTTGTCATTCAAAAGCAAGTTTTAGATGTGTACTCATCACGGAAAGTTTTTATTAGCTTCAGATGGTGCTTTGATTTAAAAATCTAGTCCTTTCCCCTCATGGTTTATTAATAATTCATAAATACCTGAGACAATTCACCCATTCCTATTGGTCGAGAGCCTGTCACATGGGTGGTTTTAAACGGTTGATAAAACACTGACTGGTTTTATACACTTTTTTCTGGCGTCACATGAATTTGGATAAAATCCAGTCCAATACCCTTTCATTGGCCGAACGTTCACAATCTTCACTTTATAGGCATGTGCAATACTACCAATGACTCCGTATTTCATAGAGTCCTAAATTTACACTACACCGGCACCGCTGCGTTCTGCGCCACATCATGCAGTATGCGGCACGTGCACGCCAATCTCTATATAAGGAGATTTTCAGTACTACTCGCGAGAGGCAGGTACCATAAACATAGCAAGACGGGTGTTTCACAAAACATGAAGTAAAATTGTTGAACAAAATCATGGGAAATCTATATATTTTTTTTAACTTTTTCTGACTTTTTGACCAAAATGTGTTTATGAATGGGAATAAATCTGTACTTGGCCAATATTAAACAAATCCCTTTAAAGCCAGCTTGGGCCTTGTCGCCTCCAAGCCCGTTTCATATGTACTTGTTTAAAACCGGCCAAACACATATTTATTCCCATATGAAAAGACCTGAAATTTACAATGGGGACCTGTTTGGGGTTTAACCCTAATCCTCCAGGGTATTCCGTCTAGAAACCCAGCCAAACTAAGATGCAACACTTGTCCAACTGAGAAACCAGCCCAACGTAACAAGAAGCAAGAGGTCCAGATTCCCAACGCCAAACTGCCTCAGAGTCTGTGGTCACCAACTGCAGCAGGATGCAACTGTGGCATTGTTCGATAGGACTAGCTCCCATCCTCTCAGAAATGGCCGGTATGCACCCGTGTTAATGTGGCATTATTCAATTGTACTAGCTCCCATTGTCCCGTTAGGCACTGGTGTTAATATTCCAATGCGACAAGCTCCCACAGACTTCTAAGACCTGTTGCGCTGTGTTGCATCTGGCAGGGTTGGGGTTTAATATGTTTCCATATATTCTGGTGTAGGTGACAAAACGCATACCTGCATGACAGTGACTTCATGTACCTCTTCGCCTGATACCTCCTTGGACAAAACCTCACACCTGTACAAGATGTAGGACAAAGAAAAAGAGAACTGGGTTTAAGTGCTTGAAGTTTGTGAGGGTCAGGAGTTCAAATCCAGGTGCTGGACAGGTGTTGTGTCCTTAGGCAATTCACTTTATCCCTACTTGTCTCTCTTGGCCATAGGCGTCGAGATGGTTACCGAGAATAGCCCAAGTTCACGGAGCTACTTAGGTCGTGTCTGAGTTACTTGACTACGGCTAGAAATAACACACGCGTGCCTATGGAAGCGGCTGCAGCCACTTCACATAGACCTGTGTGCTACATCCAGCCGTAGCCCAGTAATTCGGACACAGTCTTGTACGCAGAATATTCTGCTTAGCAAATTAACGCACTAAGCAAAAATCAGCTGGGAACCAGTCACAGCCAATGTAATGTGTGGCATTTTAGCTGGTAACCTGTTTTTGCTGAGCATATATTTTCAGAGCTTAGCAGATTTCTGTGCTTAGCCGCTCTGTGAAATTGACATAATTATTGTTGAAAAGCATACTTGGTTTAAAGATAGTAATGGGACTAAACTCCCTGTGAAATTATTCTTTCTGGCAAGCTGTCATTTTGAAGAAAACAATGAAAAAAGGCCATGTCCACGATGTGTCTTAAAACGCATCATTGGAAATTTCCGTTAGTAATTCGTTTTTAATTCGGCAAAGCACACGCAAGCGTTTACACGACGCACACACTCGCGGTTGCTATAATTTGTTGGGTCAGTGCACGACATCGCGTAGCTGCAATCGGCTAAGTGAGAACGTGTCTGTGATCAGGCCCAATTCAAAAACAGGACTCATTAACTATTGATTTGAATTGAGATCCTAGAGTATTGTTTTCTTGGAATATACAGCATTCACTGAGCTGAAACTTCATTAGGTTAGTTGTTCAGCACGCTTCTTTAGATTTTGAGCACTTTTGTTGCTTCAAACGAACATGATGTACAAATAACAAATGATGGACGCTACCTTTAAGTGAGGAACTTACACAAATATGATATCATTGTTGGACACACTGCTGAGACTGCTAGCCTTGTTGAATATCTTCTGAACCCTGTTGCTATACATCTCAAATACCCGTAACTGCAAGGGGGAAAATCCATACAACTATGCTTTAAAAAACAATGGTTTCAGAATTAGATACAAGTTTTCAATGACTGTGTTGTTTGGGTTTTATCAAAACCTTTCGCCGCTCGCGTTTACTCTCAAATACAATGTAAACCTCAATATATTTTGAGCACGCATGTTCGCCGACTTCGCGTCATTATAATAAGACATCCAAGTGCTGTGAATTATTCAGTACGAACATTAACATAACAAAGGCGCAGGTTTCGTGACTACCTCATTAACTTGACCACTGATGGATGAGTAGCTCCGCGAAGTTCGCGAACTGCTCTGCTCTTATCGCCAGACAGATATTCGCGAACATTCGCGAACAGTTCGCGAAGTCTTTATTGAAGCCTGCCCTTATATACATGTGCGTTGTCACACGATTTATTAAAAGAATGCATTTTGGACAAAACGGTGAAAAAGTGTTCTAACAATAATTTAACATTTTATTCCTGAATTCACAAAAATTCAGTAGTGTGTAGTTCAAAATGTGAACACTCTTTTAACTTGCACAAAATTATGAGACAAACCATCAACCCTTTTGTGTTCACAATTCACAGGGTAGAGCTAACACATTCATAGCGTTTTACTAATTCTAATCCCTCAAAAAAAAGTTCATGTATTGAATTAAGAAAAAAAAAACTTTGTCTTTCCAAACACAGGAGGAATTAACCCATGAAATACTTGTAGTATAACCTTCGGCGTTATTATGGCATTATCCAAGCACAGATCAACCACCGTAATACAGTTTGCAGTGCACTTATAACATAACGGCCTGGAATGCACCCAAATTAGGCTACAAAACGCGTTTTAGACAAAATTATATTAAATAGAAAGAGCATTTAAAAGTAGAATATAAACGTCCACACAACCATCCTATAAAAACTAGGCGTTTGTGTGTTATTCTTGCGAGAGCCATGCAAGAACAAATTTAGGAGGTCACAGTTTTGTCTCCAAAAAATCAAGCTGTTGGGTGCTAGTTGTGAATCCAGCAATACAGTGATTCGCACTCTGCGGACGTCTAAGAAACAACTTTGTGTATTTGTAATGTGTGTATTATGTACCACGCACAAAGTGTATGCTGCATTGAAATAGGTATGGGTATGCCACAAAATGTCCATCGCGTCCGTTGTAAATGACTGGGTTTTTCCATCTCGGGAACGGTAAGACATTATGTTTGTTTCCTTTCAAACTGAACATTGTAATATAAGTAAACAATCCAAAACATGAAATTTTCGGGGATTTCAGGCCGTTATGCCCCTTTAACTATTTGCTGTCCTTCAAATTTAGGTTCTATAATGGTCAGATGACTGCAAACAGATGTTGGCGAGGCTGGCTAGACCCACTTTGAGGATTTGATTGCACAACCGTGTGGTTGTTGTCAGAGGGCTGATGTTTGGCTAAGATTTTCAGGGTGAATAATAATTCAACTCACCATTTTTATTTGGCTATGTTTGAATGACGAACTGGTGAAATATGAAATCTGTTGACCAACAAATGTCGGAGTAATTTGAAAAGTAAGCAAAACAGAGTTCACTTTGCAGTATGCTCCCTGTGCGGAGGTTAACAAACCAAAATCTTCTTAAGATCCGTTCTATTTTACACTGCTGTATCGCATAATATACTTACATTGATAGCCTGGACTCCGGTCTTCTCTGCCATGACTGACTTGAGTTCCTCCACAGTGGCATCTGTAGACAGGGCCACCACATACTGCAAGAGATTATGTTGACAGGCTACATTTAGCTATCATGTTACTGATTGACATGTTCCAATAGGCAAATTTACATGATTTCAATATCAGTTGTTATATCGATTGGGTGCATTGTGCGTGGGTTGCTGTGGTCCAATGGTTACGGTGTTCGACTCGTGTGCCATGGTACATCGGTTCGAATCCTGACCATGGGAACATGGTGCTTGCGCTCCTGAGCAAGGCGCTTTACCACTATTGCTTCGTCCTTCGGATGGGATGTGAAGCCGTAGGTCCCGTGTGTTGTGTAATGCACGTTAAAGAACCCAGTAACACTTATCGCTAAGAGAAGGGGTTTGCCCCGGTGTTTCTGGCAGTGGCTGCTTAATGCGCCGCAGCACCTTGTAAACCATTATAAAGGTGCTACATAATGGTTCTCACATTTCTCATGTACTTCATTTACCTGTCTCTAATAATATACATAATTTCCAGCGCCTTGAGTACCTAATTGTTGGTAGATACGTACGCTATATAAGACTTCGGTATTATTCAAATTAGGTTTTGCCCTTCACCGACGTTTTTAAACACTGTATACTCAGTGTGTTACCTCCCGAGTGAAAGTTGGAAAAAAAAAGGTGCTATAATATTATTATTCGGTATTATTATTATTATTAAAAGGGTTGAGACACTTGCACTGGAGCGACCTTCCTGGAGGAGCTTACTGTGCGAAGGGAGAGAACACTTTGAACAAGCATGACAACAAGAGGAAAAGCGCAAACGGGCCCCGAAAAAGGAGTGAGAAAGAACCCAGCTCCAAAGATGTCCAGCTACCCCAGGACTTTCCTGCCATGTATGCGGCCGAATATGTGGCTCAAGGATCAGACTTCCCACCCACTCTAGAGTCCACAGGGACCCAAATTGAAGCCTGCTTGGTAGACGATTATACTCATTCGCGAGTGATTGCCAATGACGACAAGGGTTGAAAAGGGTGAAAAAAAATTCAGGATTTTTTCAACAATACAGTTTTTTGACAAAAAGCAACCATTCCAAACAAATATACAAATGTGTATCTTTCGAAACATAAAATTAAATAACCTGACAATGACACTCTGACTGATACTTTATTTCATGTTGCAATCAAATATAAGACTTGCTTTAAGCCGAAATCTCATTAAAAAAAACGTAAGCTTTCCGGACAACTGCAATTATCTTTCCACTCTTACCTTGACTGGTTTCCGGTAGTAGTCCTTGGAAAAGAAGAAGACAGGAAGAACTCTCTTCTTCTTGGGGAGGGGGACTGACAGGTGCATGAAGGGGTCAAAGGTTATAGACACCTGCCATAGAATGAAGAAATCAAACCAAATCAAAATCACAGTCTCTAGCATATTGACTAGGCCTGTGTGGAGGAATCAGGTACCCAAGACACGATTTTGGTATTATTATTTTTTCCTGAACTTGCAAATTCAAGCCAACAATTCTTTGAAAATATCAACTGTCCTTGAGTAGACTAGCTAATTCCTGGTTTGAATTATTTTGCTCATTTTCTCAGCCATTGGATCCAGATTTTCCGTCTCCGGGGAATTTTGCGAAAGGCTGGCAAAATTTGACAAGTGCCCAGTTGAAAAAAATGGTAAACGTTGTGTGGTTTAATAATATCCCTCACCCCTAGAAGTTCCCCAGGACTACCCTGCTCAATCCAACACAGTCCCACACAACCCAACTTGCCTAGTTGTTGGGTACCTGAAAATGTAAAATGACTGGCACACTCAATCCAACAGAATCCAACTAGTGCCTTATTTTTCTGTTTGCTGCTGGATCCAACAGAGTCCAACTTGGCGTTATTTACCAGTACCCAACAGAATCCAACTCTGAATGTTTTCACTTGCCTGCTGAATCCAACAGATTGCAACAGGAATAGATACAAGGTTGATAATGCTCAATCCAACAGGACCCAACCGAAATGTAAAATAGTTGCATCCTGTTGGATTGAGCAGGGTTAGGAATTTTATTACTGTTTTTTTCTTTTAGATATCCTACAGCTAGGAAAAGTTTTTGGACAGGCTGCACAGTACAGCAAAACCGCATTATGTGATCAGTTTTTACTGTATTTCTCAACCAACTCGGGAGGTATGCAGATACCTGCCTGTGGCGAGTTATATTTTGTATCTAGTTCTCAACCAAAAGCTACCTACAAATGCACAGCATACCGATAATGGCATGGGTACAAATAGAGTTGAGCAGAGGCAATTGCAGTCAAATGCCTTGCTCAGGGACACAAGTAGTGAGAACACATGAGTCAAAGGTCACCCAATATGCTACTTCCATACAGCTTGGCAACCTGCCAAGTATATTTTTGATTACCTTTCCGCACTCTGGACAGACCAACTTGGACTTGTACTGTCCCTGGAAGAGATCAACGATGTAAGAGTCGTTGCGCTTCTTGTGGGCCTGCCAGGCAGTCTCTGCCACTTCCTGTAGGAAAAGGTCACAGTGTCAAAGGTCCGAGGCCCAGTTTCGATGAAATATGCAAATAATACACTGTAAAAATACAACAGATGTAGTCAAGTCTGCAAAAATTAACAGTCATGCAGAATCAAATTAACCCTAACCCTCCCAAATCCTTTTTGCAAATTGGAGGAATTTGCAGGATTGAGGTTACATGGCAAAAGTGCGTTGCTGATTTCGGAGGACGCACTGTGTCAAGGTCTTGGGCCGGACCTTGTGTTGTTTATGTTGCGCCTAGCTTAAATTTAGTCCTTGATTATACTTGAAATCCTCCGCACTGCTCCAGGATGTCACTGCCTCTGCCTCAGCCTATTGACAGTCATAGCCGGAGGATTTTGCAGGATTCAGGCAGTGGTCACCTCTCCATGGACCATATTCAAGAAATAATGGAGGAATTTGCAGGATTGAGGGTAAATGCTATTTTTCCATGAGGCCAATTGGAGGATTTGGCAGGATTAAGGCTACATCCTAGCAAAAAGGCCTTGGGTGTTTTAAAGCTACAGTCCATCATTTGCAGCTATCCAAAAAGTAACTGACTTAATTAGTGTTGAAAAGCATACTTGGTTTAAAGATAATAATGAGACTAGACTCCCTGTTAAATTATTCTTTCTGGCAAGCTGCCCTGTTAAATTATTCTTTCTGGCAAGCTGTCATTTTGAAGAAAACAATGAAAGAAGGCCTTTCCAATGATGCGTCTAAAGATGCATCGTTGTAAATTTCCGTTAGTAGTTAATTTTAATTCAACCTTTTTGAATGTCTTTTATAACTTTTAAAGTAATTTAAATGCTCCCTTTTCAAAGTAAGATAAATTGACCGCAACACATTCTGTACAATGTTATGTATTTCTTTAAATAGACAATCTTCCTTTGTCAGATTTGTATGCACAATGTTTTAAACTTTTCTAATATTAGTATTTAATGTCATATTTTTTTTTTTAAATGTACTTTTTTATGTAAATCACGTGCAATTCAGCTGTGGCTGCTATTCGTGATTTGTTAATAAACCATGTTGAATTGAATTGAATTGAATTGAATTGAATTAAATTAATTCGGCAAAGCGTGCGCAAGCATTGGCACGACACACACGCGCGCGCGGTTGCTATAATTCGTCGGCTCAGTGCACAACATCCTATAGCTGCAACCGGCTGGATGAGAACGTGTCCCGGACGCTGATTTCGGGCGCAATTCCAAACATGAGTGACTCTGCAACTTTTGATTTGATATCAAGATCCTAGAATATTGTTTTCTCGAAATATACAGCACTCACTGAGCTAAATCTTCATCGGGTTAGTTTTTCAGCACCCTTCTTTAGATTTTCAGCACTTTTGTTGCTTCAAACAAACACAATGCACAAATTACAAATGATGTAGTGTATCTTTAAGTGAAATATATTCAAATGAACTCTGCCACAGGGCTTTGTTCTGCCACTGTTCATTCTTTGTTCTTTGAACCAACATGTGATTTGACTTGTGAGAATTGAAAAACAAATCAGAAAAGTTTAAGAGCTTAAAGGGAATATACAACATTTGCAAGCATCAAAAAACAAAACTACCAAATTATTATGAAATACCTCACTGAGCTGTTAGTGAATGACAGTCTAAAGTATCCTGTAAAATCATGGCACCTGGTGTGCTGTCATTTTCAAGAAAAGTGGTATTTTTGTATCAATTTCCAACACAGGTCAGCCGATCATCGTTGGAAAAAACTGGCTTTTAAAAAAATCTGCCCCCATTTACCATATTTAGTTAGTCTGAATTTTGTTTGCAATTGGTTATACATCTATGAACGGGTACAAGCCTTCTAGACTGGTTCCCTGACCTATTACAATTCCAAATGTCTATAAATCGCTCCATTTCAATTGAAATGGAGTCAGGGAACCAGACTACAAAAACATGATTGTTTTTCTTGGTTTTCCAGTATCTATGAACACAAAACTTCAAACAAGTCAGAGTAACAATATTTGCTATAAATACTAATCCCCAAATCCATCCATTTCTGAAATTTACAACAAAAGCAAAATAAAACCATAGAGAACTAGGGTGGTTTGGGGCAGTTTGAGGAGTAAATGGCAGGGCGGTTGCGGATGCTTTGAGGGATAATGGGTTTAAATATGACACAAACTTGATTCTTTTATCTGGTTCTATACACTGACCTCATCTGCTTTGCCGTCTGAATCCTGAGCCTCGATGTAAGGCTTGTTCTTGACCCTGTTCAAATCCTGAAAAGAAGGAAAAAACCCAGAATTGTACGTTACGCCATGATTCTAATATATTATCAAAATTTTCTGTCAACCAGATATAAATATCACTAGCATATGGGTCGTTCTATAAAGTAAGGGTCCAAAGTGTGACTTTTTCCTGTCCCCGTTACCTTGGTACTCTGTAATTTGCCATTCAAGTATAATTAAGAATGACTTCAAATTTTTGTTTTAATTGTTGGGGTAGGTAGTTCGATATGCATAATTACTCTTGGAGGACGACTGCATTAAAAAGTGCATCTACAAAGTAAAAAAAATCATAGATATTACAGCCATCCAATATTATTATTGACAGCCATCCAATATTATTGGCAACTGTGCGCCTATATCTTGTTATGTGCTATGTGCGCATGCGACAGTACCGCGTGCTACGCTCTGTTGACTGGTTGACGACTGTGAGTTTCTATGCTCTTAACTGAGCGGGAACCAGCGAAATGTGTTAAAACGCCCGGATGCAGACAAAATAAAAAATATTATTGTCATTTTCCGGGTACTTTTACTGACATAATATTGCGGTCATCCGGGTACTTTGTACGAAAGCATACGAAAGGCTGATTTAATTTTATCACTGGAAGCCTGATATAAATAATTGTCTGTATTTTTTAAATTCAAATGCTAATCCAGAATTCATATTAATGTACAAAAATCTGAATATCTGGAAGAAACAAATAATACAATTAAGAACAAGTTCCAAACTTCACAACGGTAATAAACAGTCTTTACCTCATGAAGACCATCCAGCAGAAATGCCATGAATTCCTGTGCGTCATGCTGTGCAAAGCCCATAAACTGACTGGCTTTACTCGCAACCGTGTTCTGTCAAGAAGAACATATTTACTTAAATCACTTAAAACGAGCAATGCTCAACATCCTTGTTTTCAGAAAAACACAACATTCTAGAGATGGAGGTGCAGGGAGATGCTCTTGGAAGTCAATGCTCAGTTCAGCAAGCGACTGATGATCTTTGCTATAATGACTCCAATTTGCTCTTTTCACGCTCCGCCATTGGGCATGCAGAGCCTCGATCTGGCAACTTAAGACACAATAAAAATAGCTGGTTCAGTGATCTGAACCCCGACACGGGAATCACTGAACCGCCTATAGTCATTGTGTAAAATTGCCAGATCGAGGCTGTGCATGCCCATGGCGGAAGTGTGAAAAGAGCGAATAGACCTTTCGTTTGTAAACATTGGACGTCATTTTGTATTAAACTGTGGATGACAACAGATGTTGTCCAAAATTGCATAGTAATGCCCCCATTATGTAAGAAAGAGGTATTTTTTTTTATTAAGCCTTTGGTAGCGTTTGGTGGTTAACTGTATTTTTAACAATCCAATGGTATGTTTTCAAACATTAACAAGTATTCTTTGTTTTTTGCAACGTTGGCCTTCCATAGTTTTCCAACCCATGGTTGGCAAAAAGTACCACGCAGGGCTTGCCAAAGAGAGATCTATAGGAGGTAAAAAAAGGTTACATTAAAAAAATAGTTGGACGTTGTGATGTGGTACATAAGCCTACAACTTGTATTTGATTTTTTTATTGAAGTATTGGTTATTTGTTGGAATGTTTTTGGTTGATTAATTGATAACCACTCGGTAAAAATGAAGGCTTCCTTTCAGAAGGTGCAAGAACATGCGTCAAAAAACCTCAAAAACACACAGACTCCAAGGATGTGGCGTTTACACGTTTAAACGAAAAAAAAATATAAATCTGTTTAAAAGTTTTCCAAAACCTTTCAAAGAAAACCTGGATTATAAAAAAGGGACCTACGTTCACGCAATCTTCCTTTGAGTTGAACATACATAGCACAAATAATTAACAATGTAGGGTCATTCCATGTCAAATCACCCAATGGGTTACACCCCACCCCCTTCAAATTTGCTCATATTTAGTATGTGGGGTAATTTAGGCTGAAAAGCTGAAATTTTAAGTTTTAGCGCCATCGGACAAACGGTTTTTGTGCTACTGCCCCCCATTATTTAGCAATTTTGGTCAAAATGGGCGTGGCTGCCAATTTTCAAATGACCATATTTCCATAACCTGTGGGCCAAATTTGTTAATCTTGGTTTCTTTGGAAAGGTAACGTCATAAGGAATCCAAATTTACCATTACTGTTCATGTTAGAGTAATTTGAAGTATGATGACCTTTTGACCTTTACTTTGAATACATATTCAAACCTATTTAAATTTAAATTTACAAAACCTTAGAAGCACAGCAGTACTTCAGTACTTGATTACATTCGGGGTACACATAGCTAAGGTTTTACTTTTTCAATGACTGCCTGCTATTTATTATGTCACTCATTGTTGACTTATCATGTCAATCACACCGGTCTGCAGACATAATGGGCAGGCATCAGCTTTTGTGAAAGCGTAATCCTTTAAAGGTTTAAACGATTCTTAAAATATTTGCTAAACATTTACAAAATTAAACGCAAAGTCACATCCTTAACAAACTCTTTCAAGACAAGTACATGAAGGCAAACACAAAGACATAACTACTTGGTAAATATCCACTCCGTTCACAAGTACCCCCTCACCGGCACAGAAAGTACAGTTGGGGGTGACCGAACACCGCCATCTTGCCTGACTGCAATATTTTGCCGCGAAGTGCAGCCACTGCGTGCACATAGTACAAATCCCCTGGTGTACGTGCGTCACACACAAGGAACGGTGCGCGCGTGACAACCAGCGAAATGTATGTGTCCCGCCCATGGGACGTCGTTGCTAGGTAAAAGGGCGCCTTCTTTTGTTAGCGCACGGAGCCCATACTGTAAAGACTATCGCTCTGAACGGGTAAGTTAACGAGTGGTTATTGAAGTATCAATTATATACCAATTAATGCAAAAAGAAAATGTAATCAGCTGTTTGATTAACCCTTACTCTCTGAGGGTAGTTTACTGCATGTCAGTTGGTTATGCCAATGCCCTCCAGCTGCAGTTTATTGGCAGATAGTTTGTCTTAACAGTGAAGGCTCCAATTGGCAGGAGTTGGAGGCCCTGGAGGGTGCCTGATACTGACCAGCTGGGGGCACTCACTTTGTTATCAGAGGACTCTCATTGTTCTCTGTGGCATGTATTGGAGTGCCTGTCCAGTTACCCTTGAAATGACATGGCAGATATTGGAGGGCCATGCAAAAAACATAGGAGATTTTCTTGAGGCACATATTGGCATGCGTTGGAGGGTCTAGTAGGGTAAGGGTTAAATGAAACTTCAACCAAAAAAGGGAACGATTAATCAACTGAACAAAAACCAATGGTACACTTGTAGGTGCAAAACCCAAGCAATGCAAAGCACCCAAGACAAAGCTGAACATAACCAAGAATGCTTCATTATTTTGTGAACATCTATAAACACTGACCTTGAGTTTTGACGGAGCACAGGACCTGAATTTACCCGACCAGAGCGACCTCATAAGAACAGCAAACGTCAGGATCAGGGTGCCCCCGGTGCCTAGCGGGTTACTGTAGTTAATCTCACTCTTCATGTTAGAATCTGGTGACAATAAAGTCAATATATCTGTGATATTATCAAATCCTCACCACTTTGACTGTCAATAATGAGGAGCTAGCTAAAGGGGTTAAATTCTCCTGTTCTCGAACTGTGCCACAATCTACTCAAGAAAATTCTACAAATTTTGCTTCTTTTCCCCCAATATCAGCTTTTTCAACCTGTTCAATATAAAATGCTATAAGTGTTCAACTTTTTTCCTTCTGATATTGAGGTTCGAAAATCCCTACTGTCTAGGCCACTCTGTGTCCAAAGCTTCTTCTTGAACAAGAATCTGGTGATGGTGTGCCTACTAAACATTTACATTACTTATTTATCCTTAAACCCTCAGGGTATTCTGGTGGTACCCTGCCCGACGCAACAACAACACGCAACACTTGTCACAGTGAAAAGCCTGCCAAGTCCAACCTCGTCCCCAGTGCTTACTTTATTTCCAACCGCGTTTCCAATAGTAAACCCTAGATAGGAAACTTTCTTCCTGTATCCTGATTGGATACCGCAATTGGCTAGTAATGGATTTTTATCGTGTACTTGGTGCTATTATTCACAACGTGCAGTACGTGTTTTCGCGATCATTCGTCCAAGCCTTCTCGAAAATACTAATTTCCTTTCCAATTTGCTCATATACATATGAAATATGATACTGCATGTTGTCTCGATAAGATCGTAACAGTTTGATTTCAAAAATCGTGTTTTCGTAACTCACGCCGTGCTCGCGCTGCTACGAATTGACTCTGTTTTTACCCCAGACACCGCATACAAAAACAAACGCTAATGTGTAATGCATATCCAGGCACCAGACTGTTCCTCATTTGCATACGTGTTAAAAAATCTTGCACATACAAATGATCCAATACCAGGGTGAGAGAGCAGGTAGTGGTAGGCGCGTACTGCTCGACACCCTGGGGACGAGGTTGTGCCAAGTCTAACAAGATACAACAGGCCTAAACTGCCTCAGACTCTGTGTAGGCCAACTGCTACAGGATACAGCTTTGACAATGTTTGAATATAATTGCACTAGCTCCCAATATCTCAGCATTGGTAGTTCATGCACTTGTGTTGACGGCCTAACGCATCAATTTCCCACAGACCTTTGCACAGGTTGCAGGATTTAGGAAAAACAAAAACCTTGATTGGTATTTACCGAGCATGTAGTCCCTGAGTTCTCGCGTGTTGGCCAGGACCTGCAGTACGCTGTTCATGAAGCACGTGTTGCCTAGATTGTCTAACCCTGTGAAGCCTGGATTGTAGTAGAGCTCTGCCTTGGTTGCTGATTGACTGGTACCCGGCAGGTGAGACTGCGGGGGCACTGTGCAGGTTGGCTTCGTAACGAGGGGCTAAGGAACCAACCAAAAACCAGGGAAATATGAAAAGAAAATAACTCTATTATGTAATAGCAATTTCCCAAATTTAGAAGTGGACTGGACATGTTTAGAAATAATCGCTCCAGCTTACTTGTAAATTTAGCAAAAAAGTCGCACATGCAGGGCATTCGCAAAAAAATAGTAACAAAAATAACCAAAAAACACACCAAAAAAATGAAAAAAAAAAAAAATTTCAATTGGAAATCCCACAAAGTTTTGCTTTGGCTGCATTTAGACCTTCCAAACAAAACTACGTTCTTGATGTGCAAGAAACTACATTCAACGAAAAGAAAACTAAAACCTCAATTTCCTAAGTTAAAATTCAAACAAGCTAGCGGTATCTATTTTACATCTTTGATTTGGCGAAGTCTGTACCTGTCAGAAATCAAAGATGGTCAAAATATCTGGTATAAAAATACCATGCAACCATCTGGTGTCAATTGTGAGTTTCGAAATCAAATAAGTTCAGCCAATTCCAAATATCAAGGCCCATTTTACCAATTTAGCAATGTGCCTCTTGTATGTCAAAAGGTTTTGTTAAAGAGCACCCTCTAGGGGTGAGTTCAATTCAATTCAATATAACATTTATTTATATCCAACCATGAAAAAATGCAGTTCATACAGCATGTACAATAAAGGAAAATAAATATAAATTGTGTCTTGGAAAAACAAATAAGTAAAATTGTAAATGACAAAGCAATTAATTCAAGCCATAATAAGCCTAAGCTTGTCAATGGCAGGTGCTAAAAGTATACTTAGACCACTATAAAGCAATAAATGAAACACAAAAACATTCATTAGTAGAACAATTGAAAACACATAATACTCAGCCAATAACAATGCAGTTTAACAGGTAATAAACAGTTCCCATCTACGTGTGTCCCTGCATCTCTATTTATACCTGTGACCTGTTATCCGCCCCCGCATCCACCGACTTGGCCCCGCCCACCGCTCCTCTCAGCATATCCTTTTCGGAGCCCATATCTTTGGCCATCTCCTCGGTATCTTGGTTCTTGGCGGCTGATAGCGGCATCCATTTGCTTGAACCGCTGCTGTGGACCGTTGAATTGGCTGCTTCAGAAAACACAAAAGTGACCACAGATGACGTGAATTAAGTCTTCATAGACAATTGAACCCTTACAGAACTCAACCTATCAAACCCCAACGGCATGTTTTGTTGGAATCTGTCAGGATGGGTACAGTACCCCTAAACTGACAGTCTTTTACATTGGGTTGGCACACCTCCAGAATCAAAGTCAGAAATATGTGTGTGCAGTTTCCCATATGGTGTTGGAATTTGCCAGGATGGGTATGGTTCCTAGTAAATCATGCTAGTTAGGGTTAATGCACCTAACCAGTTTCCCCATGTGGTTTTTTTGAGGTGGTGTAATAAAATGCAGTATCCTCTCTGAGTGATCCCAGTTTGCTGTCTCCCAGGTTTGCAGCATTGCTAATGTTGCTAGCATTGTGCCTTTGAGCATAATCCAAGATAACATGCTTATGGCTTCTGACTAGTGCTCCCTGAACAAGAACGTTGACACAATGGGGAACCGCCATCATTGGGCTGGTTATAGCTCAGTTGGTAGAGCACTGGAACAGCAATCCGTAGGTCGCAGGTTCGAACCCTGGCCCTTCTCCAGTCCATTTCTTGGTTCAACCTATAATGCACCTAGTCAGCTTCCCTACGTGGTTCCTTTGATAATTCGTTTTTCACATGCAGTAGGAAGTGCACAATTTTCTCATCTTGATATTTTAAAAAAAAATTTGCTTTACCAAATTTAGTTAGTCCACATTTTGTTTGCAATCGGTTACACATCTGTAAATGCGTGCAAGCCGGCTAGTCTGGTTCCCTGAACTGACAATTCCACGACGTCTATAAATTGCTTCGTTTCGTCTGAAGTAGGGTCAGGGAACCAAACTACAAGAACAACATTTTTTTTTCTTGGTTTTTCCAGCATCTATGGGCGCAAAATTGTCTACACAGTTCAGTGTAACAATATTTGCTATAAAATATTATACAACACCTGAATAAATCCCCGTCATCTGATTGGTGAATTGTAGATCACGTGACATATTATTATTCGGTAAAATGCACGGTGCGACCATGCGTTATACCCATGCGTTATACCGTTTCACTTTGCGCTTGTTCCATGACGCGGTATTTGCATGCAAAATGCATGCTGGTGTGCGCGTTCAGCGTAGCGCGTATTGTTCCAAAGAGCCAGCGCTACAGCATTGGGTTCAAACATTTTCGTGAAGGGGTAGTTCAACATCTTTAAAATCAAAATAAATTGTAGTTTATAATTTACCAATCAAATGACGAGAATTTATTCAGGTGTTGTATAAAATAAATAACGAATGTTTTACATTCGTGCGATGGAAAGAATAATTTCATTTGGTGACAGATTGAATGTTCTATTCCACTCGGCTTCGCCTCGTGGAATAGAACATTTCATCTGTCACCTCATGAAATTATTCTTACCATCGCACTCACAAACATTCGTTATTTGTATACTAACCCCCAAATCCATCCATTTCTGAAACTTACACCAAAAGCAAATGTTGTATATTACCTTTAACCTTTTGCCAACGAAATAGTCTATCAATATGAAAACATTCAAATCAGCCAAACAGACAAGACCGATTGTGGCTTTCAAGGAAAATTCAGTGTTTTAAAATGAAAAATTTGCTGGTACCATAAAGGTTTTTACGGTAACCTGAGGCAATACTGCAAGTATAAATAATGCCAAGATAATAATATTAATGTAACATTTCAGTCATTTTCAATCAATGCCAGATTCAACAAAGAAATGGACCGGGTGGAATTTAACTTGCCACATCTAAAATAGCACACTGACGCTCTTACATGTGTATTTTTCTTTTTCATATTAGTTTTAAACTTAAAATTATATATTAAAACAACCACCTCTTAAAATATTTCTTTTTCTACTTGCTCTTGAATATTGGGGAAATCTTACCACAATTCCTGAATTTTCAATTTTCAGGGGGTTTTAAATTTGGTTGAACTTGAAAAAAGGTACATAATAATAATAATAACTAATTCTTGTATAGCGCCAAATCCGTCAAAATTGACGCTCAAGGCGCTTCGACATTAACCCTAACCTTACCAACTCCATCAAAATCAGATAAGCCACATGTACCAAGTGGACTGAAGTACATCAAAATCTATCAGCACCAGTGGTGGATTTCAGCGGTTTGGTCCTGAAGCATTATGTGAAGTAGAGTGAGTGATGGATTTTGACGGACATGGTCCTCTACTTAGTCAAACTAAGTAGGGAGTTAGGGTTAATAAGTAAGTTCACTCTGATAAATCTTTACCTAATTCGCCTTTTGAAATTGATCCACTGACTGAAAACTATTAGATTAATGTGACTAATTGATTGATTGAGACCACACCCACCTTTCGTCATGGCCCTCTCCAAGGAACCCCACCTCTCAGGAACCTTCTTTCTCAGGAGCACCTCCAGCCTGTACTGGGTTATCTTGTATGTACATTGATTGATTGATTGATTGATTGATTGAGACCACACCCACCTTTTGTCATGGCCCTCTCTAAAGAACCCCACCTCTCTGGAACCTTCTTTCTCAGGAGCACCTCCAGCCTGTACTGGGTTATCTTGTATGTACATTGATTGATTGATTGATTGATTGATTGAGACCACACCCACCTTTTGTCATGGCCCTCTCTAAAGAACCCCACCTCTCTGGAACCTTCTTTCTCAAGAGCACCTCCAGCCTGTACTGGGTTATCTTGTACGTACACTGCTCTGGTAAGATGGAATTCCTGTGGATAAGGTAAAAAAAACAATTGTGTTACATTTCACAAGAAAAGTATCAGGAGAGTCAGTCAGTTCGGGATTTTTTTTTGGGGGGGGGGGGGTGTTATACATAAATGTAAGTCACATATCGGCCTACCCTTTCTTCTATCCCATTCGGTTACTAATCCCCCTCTACACTTAGGCTACATGTACTGCACGCGCCAACTATACAGTGTACATGTACATGTATGCGACACAATGTACAGTGCATGTAGATGTATACAATGTGTGCAGCACATCCATAGAGCTATATTAAATTACTAGAGCTCTAAACTCGTCATTCTGCGCGCGGAGGCGCTTTGAAGCCGTCCTGGGCACAGACATTTTGAATTCATGTGCGTGTTTGTAGAACATAATGAAATTAGGTGGATTGAATTTTGAAAGTGTACTCTACATGCAACGCGCAAGTAGACCAAAAGCGCAAGTAGACAAAAAGCATCTGCAGCGAATACGTGCACATGTTGCGCTGTTTACGTAGAGCAAAATGACACGCTCATTTGCTGATCGTGCATTTCGTTTTTGGGCGTATTGGCTTCGATAACTCACCAGTATGTAATACAAACGCAGATATGCTAATAGCCGTACAAAAGCCGTACAAAATGTCTAGGTCTCCATAGGTTTGTGCACAAACATGGATGCGCCCAGCAGGCATCACTTTGTACACGAAGTTAGCGCTCTGGTAATTTAATATAGCTCTATGAGCACATCACACCACATGTCCCAAGTCTCAACCTCAGTTATACGTACAAAATACGGTAAAAATGATCGATGTGGAACCTGCCACTACACAACTTATCAAGATTCATGCAAGACACTTACAGCTTTGTGTTTGAGGTATTAGAATTTCTATTTTACTTGTGACAGAATTTTCAGAAATTTTCAGAGAAGCAAAGTCGAACAAAACATTTTTTTTTCAAAATGGTGCACGGAGGTGATTCAACGACTGTTTTGTGTCTGAACAGAAATTATACACAAACAGCCGTTTTTATCTGTTGTTGCTGTTTTATTTTCCTCGCTCAAGATGTGTACATTATTTCAAAAGTTGCGCAGCTATGCAAAGTTTGTGAAATTGAATCGTAAGTCTACTGTGCAGCTTTACAACAAATTTGTTGCTTAAATCCTACTCATGGCGTAAGTTACACACTGTTTCAGGAAATTGACTGTTGATGGGTTAACCCCTTGCAGCCGGGTTTTCACGCCTCACTGCACAGCCTTATATGCATCACTGCACAGTAGCCTCTGTGCAGTAGCGGCACTGCACTGTAGCAACTGTCCACAGACGGCATACGGGAGTGCGGCTATAGCCATCAGCCAGTGAGGAGGGGTTACTAGGGAATGAAAACCAATCCACATGTTTATGAGGGAAACATCGCTACGCCAACTTGTTTTTTTCATTTACAGTATTTACAGTGACTTACTTCAAGTGGATGGTCCAGCTGAAGAGAGTCTCACCGCTGGAATCAGTGTGAAGCTGTAGAAACTTCTGGTCACTGGAAAACAAAAAACACAAACATTATCTTTAAGAGGAATTGAGAAAAAAATATAACATGCTAAGCATATATTTGAGCTGTTAAAATTGAAAGCATGGCGATGGTTGCACAACATAGAAATGAGCTGTTTCATTGTAGACATGAAAATAAGGTGTTTCATCCAAACGGAAATAAGCTTGTAAGCGTGGAAATGAGCAGCTAAGCATTGAAATGAGCTTCTAAGAAAAGAAATGAATTACTTAGCACACAGTTGAGGTGCTAAGTACGCAAAATGTGCAGAGTGCAGAAAAAAACTTGCTTAGTAAAACCAATGACGTGATGGGTATTTGCCTTGGACTAGTTCTCAGGTGAATCTCTCTCAGTTAAATACCTGCTTGGATTGGCTTCAACTTAACACAGCTGTGGTATAATGTGTTGCTAGAGAGCGTAGCAGACAATAAAACTCAGAGTTACAAGAGCAATAATTACATTTACAAAAAAAAGTTTTTTGTAAATTTCATTTGGTTTGTACTCACTTTGTCTTGAATCTGACTGTCATCTCCTGGTCTCGGAAATTGACATCGATGGACTCCTTGTCGATTTCCTTGATGTAAATGTGGAGGGCTAAACTTGAAAGGTCCTTAAATCAAAAAGAGAACAATTTCCAAGTAGTATTGTGGATATTTTCAGACAAACGTAAACCAAGACTGACAGAATATCAATGTCCAATCCCATGTCAAAAAAATATGCCGCTGAGAAATGTAAACGGAGACTGACAGAGTTATCGATGTCCAATCCCATGTCAAAAATATGCCGCTGAGAAATGTAAACGGAGACTGACAGAGTTATCAATGTCCAATCCCATGTCAAAAATATGCCGCCGAGTAATGTAAACGGAGACTGACAGAGTTATCAATGTCCAACCCCATGTCAAAAATATGCCGCTGAGAAATGTTAGCTTTTGACAACCATAAATGGAGACTGACAGAGTTATCAATGTCCAATCCCATGTCAAAAATATGCTGCTGAGAACTGTTAGCTTTTGACAAACGTCAACGGAGACTGACAGAGTCATCAATGTCCAATCCCATGTAAAAAATATGGCGCTGAGAAATGTAAATGGAGACTGACAGAGTTATCAATGTCCAATCCCATGTCAAAAATATGCTGCTGGCAAATGTTAGCTTTTGACAAACGTAAACGGAGACTGACAGAGTCATCAATGTCCAATCCCATGTCAAAAATATGCTGCTGACAAATGTTAGCTTTTGACAAACGTAAACGGAGACTGACAGAGTCATCAATGTCCAATCCCATGTCAAAAATATGCTACTGAGAATTGTTAGCTTTTGACAAACATAAACGGAGACTGACAGAGTTATCAATGTCCAATCCCATGTCAAAAATATGCTGCTGACAAATGTTAGCTTTTGACCCTTAGATGATAAATACCACGTCCTACTTACTTTCTCAAACCAGTCATTCTTGGCATGGTTAATGATGTACGCTGAAAAGAAATACAATACAAAAACAGAGCGAAAATGAGCGTGATATGCCACTAAAAACGGAAATCCACTCTAATACAGAGAGCATGTTTGGGAGATAGTTGTCAGGACCTTCAAGGCAATATAAAATTTGGAAAGCAATATGTTATTTAGTATTTAGATGTTTTTTAAAATTTTGTTAGACAATTAATGAAGATTCCAGGCCAAAATGCCTAGGGAGTTACCATTAAAAGTACACTTTCTTCCTAGGATTGCCAAAATATTAGTGATTTTGATTGTTCAACTTATCACAATTGAAAGGTCTGTGTCACAGGAATCAACAAATGTTGAACATTACAAGTTTTCAAGGTATAGTTGAGTGTACCGTTTTATGATCTCTCAAATGTTTTGTTCATCTTGTGAGAAACTCATTTTAGAGCCCAAAAGGGCACTTCCAAAGGGAAGGATCCCTTTAGGCATCAATCAACTGAAAACAATATATTATTAAAACCAAAGTATTCTGAAGTATTTAACCAGTTCGCGCTGGAGGCCGTGTATACACACAATAGTTTTGCGGTATTCGGAACGGATGACTGATAAACACGCAGGGAAGGAGGCCGGAAATATCTGTCAGCGATCCGCTTGCAGCGAGCGAGGCCAGAAATACGAGTGTGCTGCCCGAGGGTGATGGCTTTGAGGTCGAGTGAAAAGTAATCCTGCGCCTCGTTCCGTTCTTGTCAAAATAATCCCGCCGTGAACTGGTTATAAGTGGTTTCCTTGTCCTACCTTTTGGCGGCCGTTGGATTTCAACGTCAGACAGAGCCGGTGGTACAGGAGCATGGACTGACTGCTGAGGAGTCGGGGCCCTGGGTGGGGGAGGGGGAGGGGGTGGGGGTGCGGAGGCTGACATCTTGGGGGGTGTGGAGGGGGCGGCGGTGCTGATGGAAACAGGTGGATCGGGGGTGCCGTTCCTCAAGGAAGTGGGATCAGCCTGTGCAAGATTTGAAAAATGTTGGAAAAGATGTATTTGAAAAGGAAGTCCTGTACAGATAAAGATGCATAGAGCCAAAAAAAAAAAAAAAAAAATACTTGGTCTCTGGTCAGACCAAAGTTCCAGAATTGATGCAGCGACGCGGTTTGTTTGTTTGTTTATTCTTTTTCAAGCTTGGGTACTATTTTGCTTTTTTTGGTGTCCTCATACACATTGGTGTCCTCCATAATTTGCCTTGGCGCCCTCGATCATTTGCTTTGGTGCAATTTCCCATTCCTTGGTGCTCTTTGGTACAAAAATTTGAGGAGGGGTGGCAATAGAGGGCGCTGTAGGAGCTACCGCGGAACATTTTGGTAAAAAAAAGAGATTGACACGCATGCTTAAAATCGACGCGCACGCTGACCAGAGACCGACTATTTTTTTTTTTTTGGCCTTACATCAAGACTTCTTTTCTCGTTTTACATTTAAATTTTGAATTGAACAGCTCTGTAACTTCCTATGCAGCGTAGACTCAATGTTTTCTATTACGTTCTCTATTATTAGTATAGACCTTAACCCTAACCCCCTTGAGTGATTTACTAGGAACCTTTCTCACTCTTGCAAAATTGCATACTCCACACCCAAACTGTTGGACTCTGATTATGGTGGTATGCCTGACCCCATGTAAAGTATAATCAGTTTACTTGTGCAGTCCTCGCTCCAACAGAATCCAACAAAACATGCAGTTGTATTTTAAAGGGTTGGGGTGGTTAGGTAATATACAACATTTGTAAACATCAAAAAACAAAACTACCAAATTATTTTGAAAAACCTTGCTTGACTTTAAGTGAACAATAGTCTTAAGCATCCTGTAAAATCAAAGTTGGCTGACCACCATTGGAAAAAACCCTGATTTTTTTTTCAAATAGTGCCCACAATTTACCACATTTAGTTCCTCCACATTTTGATTGCAATCACTTACACATCTGGGTCATTCTATAAATTTGGGGTCCACTTTTTTTCCCGTCCCTGTTACATCTGACATCTATGATTTTATAATTCTGATGCACTCCTTAATGCAGTCATCCTCCAAGAGTGATTATGAATAGCAAACTACCTACCCAACAAATAAACAATCATTTGAAGTCACTTTTAATGATGCTTGAATGGCAAATTACAAAGTACCAAGGTAACAGGGACGGGAAAAATGTCACACTTTGGACCCCAAATTTATAGAATGACCCATCTGTGAACGGGTGCAAGCCAGCTAGTCTGGTTCCCTGACCTGACACTAAGCAAAATCACTCCATTTAAATTCTTAGCTGATTGGGGTTTGCAAATATTTCATTTGAAGACCAACAGTTGAATGGAGTGTAGAGTACTGTACAAACCTGTAGCTGTGGCCACGTCTGACCGTGGACAGCTTTCTCAATCTGGATTCCAATTTCTTTCTCATCGACGTGGAAGCTGCACGTCGGATGGTCAACTTCCTTGAAGAACTCACACAACCAGTCACGACCATCTGTATGAATTGAGGAGGACAGATTAAAGAAGTCAGTTATATGTGTTCAACTGACTGCATTTCAAACTGGGTTATTTGTTTTTGTACTGTATTTGATTCTGCTGTACATAAGGCCAAGTACAAACAAATAAGTAGTTTCTTGTCCTGCCTTTTTGAAAAAATGAAGGAGGCCCTATTTTTCTCTCTCCTTTTTGGCGTATTTTCCAAGATGATGGAAGGATTCTTCAATTTGTTTCCTACTTGTCATTTAAAAAGAAAATTTCATAAGTATTTCAAGGAAGTGCTTGATAAAACACCTCAAAGAGTTTTATTTAATTAAATAATGATTTCATCTGTACTAACTTAAATACATGTCTTCAAGTAGCAGGGCACTAAATATATCTCATTTATTTCTCTCATATATATTTTATCTAATCTTGATAAATGTGCTTAAATTAATGTAACTGTATCACTAAATAAACATCATAATTCAAACCCAATGCAGCACTTACCAGCAGTCTGGGTGCTACGCTACAAGAGGGTTTTACCTCCTCTGGATGTAACCGCCATTTGTACTTTTTAAATTTTATTGATTTATATTCATCAACTTCTTGTAATTTCTCATTGACTTTTGTTGTGCAAATGGAAATAAACAAACAAACAAACAAACAATTTTCTGGACTATTTTGCTGATACAAAATTGTATCCAAAGGAGCCATTACCCTTTTTACATAGCTGCCATATGTTGGAAACAAATAAAAGGACAATATATTGACAATACATGTGCAAGATATACTGCAAAAGTATGAATAAAAAAAAAACATTAAAAAAAGGAGGCGGCCGGAAAAGGAAGTGGGCGGGGACAAGAAACTTGTTTATTTTTTTACTCTGCCTAAGCAAAATACTGGTGCTATACATGGGAAGTACCTCATTGAAATTACAAATTGTACGACCAACCCCCCCCCCCCCCCAAATCCCCCCAATAAACATAAATGCTGCCTATTAATGCAAATTTGCCCAAATCCAAAGTAACAAATATTGAATAGGGCTACTCACCCTTAAGTCTAAGGTGTAGGTCTCTGCTAGTGATTTCAAAGTCTACGTCGTCATCACTGAGTCCGGGCCCAGACTTCAAGCTGATGAATACAGCCTTGTCAGTCTGGTGCCAGCTGTAATCAAGCACTTGGTTGTCGTTTTCTTTGAAGAAATAAAATGAGACAAAAAAGGTCCAGATCAAAGTCAAGTGTTGTAGTTGTGTCGATCACAAGTCAATCAAAGCATCTTTCACAAGTTCTCACATTCACAAGTCCTCACAAGACCTCACCAGTTCCTCACAAGTCCACAAGTTCTCACAAGACCTCATAAGTCCTCACAAGTCCTCACCAGTTCCTCACAAGACATCACAAGTCCTCACCAGTTCCTCACAAGTCTACAAGTCCTCACAAGACCTCATAATTCATAACAAGACCTCACCAGTACCTCACAAGTCCTCACAAGACCTCATAAAACCTCATACGTCTTTGCAAATCCTCATTGTCAGTTCTTGCAATTAATCAGCAGTCTTCACAAGTCCTCACAAGTCCTCATCAGTCCTCACAAGTCCTCATTAGTCCTCATTAATCCTCACAAGTCCTCATCAGTCCTAACAAGTCCTCACACAAGTCACCAGCAGTCCTCACAAGTCCTCATTAGTCCTCACAAGTCCTTACAAGTCATCACAAGTCCTAACAAGTCTTCACACGTCATCACCTATGCTTCCAACTCCAAGTCATCACAACTGTGACAGAAGCATTTCCTCTGTTATCGTTCACGCCCTGTTTAGGGCTGTGCATCGGAACCCGTTCCAGATCATGGGATCGATTTCCAGTAACCCACTTTACAATTTACTTTATCTTCTCATACAATGAAAAAAAGGTTTGAATGCTGTTTGAAGGAAATTCTCAGAATGAAAACCAGGCTACATGTACGTGAAAAACCTAAACAATGTTAAAAAAAAATGACATGAATCCAACTCACCATTTTGACCCATTTTTTACAAGCTGATGTTTGGCTACTCCTGATATTTACTTGTCAACGGAACCTGCAATAAGGAATGATTTAGAGGAATATATGGAATTTTTTCCGACGCTTATTGATGCCAGTTGATGCATTTTATTTTTAAGGGGGGCCCCCTAGGACCCGAAAAGTGTCTTAATTCGATTTCCTCAAAACAACTTTTCCTCACGTACTTTGTCATCGCTGTGTGGCGCACAATACGGAGGACGTCCAGTATTTGAGCCATATATATGGGGCTATCCTCTCCCCCCCCCCCTTTTCCAACACCCCCCCCTCCGGAAAATGTATTGCATTTGCGCTTTGCACACACAAAAACATGACCAAAAATAAAAAGGCAGTGTATATTTTGCCGGAGACGGCAAACCTTTAGTAAACGTTAGTTTGCCGGATATGCACTGAACATGCGCAGTTACTGTTTTTTTTGTACTTAAACATTTTCCGGTGAAAAGTTTTAGTCTGGCTCCATGCCAGAATTATCGTTGTTACCTCGTATTCACAAGATGGGATTCAGACCATTTTATAATTTCGGACTTTATTTCCATTTAAAAAAAAATCCTCCAGAGCCACAAATCTGAAAAAGAAAATGTAGGCCCCTAATACTCTGCAAAAAATGTTTGAGACATGTTAAAATAATAAAAGAAGAATATTCTTATTTATTTGGGGATGAGAAAAAAAACCTTAAAAATGTGGTGCGGTCGGAATCGAACGCGAGTCATCCGGCTTACTAGAGCCTTTGCTTAACCATTACACCAAACGTGCTACACATCTTTTGGTGGGAATTTATAATTCAGCCCTATTTTAAAGAGTACAGCGCCCTCTGTTGATATGGATTGCCGCCGGCAAACCTTTAGTAATCGTTAGTTTGCCGTCATTACCTCCGGCAAAATATCCATTATCAAATAAAAAACACCCGGCTTTAGAGTTTAGTTTTACAAACGAAGTTTAAAGTTCATAACACAAACGAATAACTCAACAAAATCAAAACCAACGAAAGTATCAAACTTCAAACTCAAATAGCTCACCTAACTACTATTTCTATCTCGCCGTTTGATTAAATTGAAGAGACTTCGTAGAAGAAATTGAAGAAAGGATCGATTAAAGCTCTCCGTGATTACGCATTACTGTGGTAGCTAGCCGGGTCGCCTTCTCAACTTTTCTAAAACCCAGTATATGAAACGTCTAGGAACCAGTCTGGGAAGTAAAAAAAATACAATATAATATGATACCACGAGAGGGCGCTAGATAATGCGCGGTTAATGATGATGAGTGCAAATGTGTACGGCCTGCATTGTAACTTGTATTGTAAGTCTGTCTGATGATTTTCGACATTGATTTTTTCTTTGAACATTTGAGAATACTATTATTGAATATTTCAAAATATAGAAATAGTGTGGAACGAAGATCTGTTGTGATAATTGCTATAAGATAAAGATTTAGTACCTTCCTCAGGACTCGGACTTAAAACAATCCCAAATCAACACTTGTGACCCGTCACTGTGACTGGTGACAGTGACAGTCACTGTGAGCAATACATTTTTGGGACAGAATTTTGGATAAACAAACCCACATGGTGTTGTAAGCTTGCTGTCTATTGGACTAGCACCGCGTGACCTGTTTTGTTTATCCAAAAAAAATGCATTGTTCTTGAGGGGAAGTGTTTGCATGTGTGCGAGTGAAAATGAAATGTCGATTTCCGCTCTGTGAAGAGTTCCGTTCAGAAATTGAAAAAAAATTTAAAATGCCAAAATAAATTCAACTTTTGATGACCAACCCTCCCCCATCCCCCTAAAAATCTCGCGTTCAAGTTGTGAACACGAGCAATTTTGATTCAAACAGTCGGAAGAAAGTGGCCAGGAAATGCCTCAGATTGCATCACCTGATCACAGAGCTAGAATCCAAAATTTCCCAATCCCCATGCCGCATGTAAAGAGTTCCACTGTGGGATTTGAAGAATCCCCCAGTCTGCAATCAGGAAACGGACCTTCTTATTAATTGTTAATTGAGCAATTGAAAGAGCAAGGAACAAAGATTTTTTAAAAATCCATCTCAAATTTTCTCAATATATTTGAAAAGACTTGTATTCATATGGCGAAAAAAGAGACGGTGTGATTGTGCTCTGAGCCGGTTCCTGTAGTTTACCTTTTTGGCTGCTTTTGTTTGATTTATTTCTTTTTCACGGTTATGTATCCCATATCCTAACTTAAACTGTGATTTTTTTTCAGATTTCTTCTCATGCGTGACAGTTTCAACCAATCAGAATGGAGAAGCACTCTGATATCTACACCCATCCGTTCCCAAATCGACACTTGAAGTGGGACCATAAGGTATGTTGCTTGCTTGCTAGCTTGGCATTTAATTACCACATTATACCAACCACATTGATTTTTTTCCTATGCTCTGAAGTGAATCCACGGGATCCACTTTCTTGATACTTCATCGTTGTAGAGTTTCTTTCTATCATCCTTTAGTGTTATTTTGTTGAAGGTATATACTCACGCCTTCCGCTTCCTTTAAAAGATTGTCATTTATCAGATATGTGACCAGCTCCACAAAAAAGGGTATTAAGTCGAACTGAGCATTATTGTGTAATGGCTTGCTCAACATTGAGAGGGTGAAAATTTCATCAAAATTTGATTTTCATTTTTTGTCTTGAATGACATCTTTGATACCTACAGTTTCAGGTTTCATTCACAGGAATGTTGATTTTGATGAACAAACTGGAAAAAACAACCATTTTGTGTGCATCGTTCGGTTGTTCTACAACAAAGCCAGCTATTTCAACGCCTGTTTTCTCAGTTGTGTAATTTCAACTCAAAGGAAATAATTAATATGCAAATACATCATACCTCCAGAACGGGAGGGGCTATGGAGCTCTTTTACATACCAAATGAAAGCTTACATTGTGGGCTTTCCAACCATGTATATAACGCAATTTCACTTTTTGCGACAGAATACCCTTTTTTGTGGAGCCGGTCACATATAGGCTCCGAGCCCAATTACCCCCTCAGTGGTAAGGAAGGGAGAGTTGGGGGAGACCACTGGCTAGGAGAGACATTCGAAAGCATCAGACGACGATGATGCCTGACGCTCACATGAAGACGCTATGGCTTTGTGCACATTCAGAATCAAATCTGTCATGCGTATTTCCGAAAACAGTACCCGCACGCAGTGTGTTCAGCCACTATGAGCTCTCAAAAATGATGCATGGTGCCCATGAGCTTCGTGCGCTAACAAAAGAGGGCGCCCTTTTACCTAACAATGAAGCCCCATGGGCGGGACATTTAGCTGGTTGACGCGTACCGTTCCTTGTGTGTGACGCACATACACCAGGAGATTTGTACTATGTACACGCAGTGGTACGGCCGCGTGTTGCGGCAAATTGCAGTCAGGCAAGATGGCGTTGGTCGGTCACCCCCAACTGTACTTCCTCTGCCGGTGAGGGGGTACTTGTGAACGGAGCGGATAGCTCTGCCCTTAGTTTTTGCACACCTTTGGAGGCAAATGGTACCCCTAGGTACACAGAACACCATTGACTACGTCGCATCGACAGTGACGATATTTGTATACATGTACTGAAGTCTGACCACAGAATTGTCGTTTTCATTTCAGTTGAATCTGATTGGAGAGAAAGTCGTTGATCCCACGATTCACTGCTGCGAAAAATGCGGCTTGCCCATCCTGAGCTATGGACGAATGGTGAGTCACCGTAAGATTGAAGCGAATCTATTTAATTTAGTGGTATCGTTAAAAAGGAAAGTTAACACCATCATCAAATCAATTATGGAGATACATCATTGGGAAAAGTTATTGCATTTATCATAGAGTTCACTACATTTTAATTTTGCTTAAAGTTTGAATGAATTCTTAGGCCTATCCCACTTACTCTTACATGCTTTGATTGCTATAGATAAAACACGAGGACATAACACTTAAAAAAAAATCTTCATAATGTAAAGTTATTAACAATCATGGTTTGGTTCAACGCAGCTATTTTTTATTACGTTGCCAAGGTATGATTTTCTAAAAAAAAAAAAGAATTCAATTTGTGCTTTTGATTCCAGATACCCTGCAAGCACGTCTTCTGCTTTGATTGTGCCAAAGCCACAGACAAGAGCTGTTTGAGGTCAGTAGGTCAGAGTTCAGAGGTTATGAAGAGCAAATGTTACACACAAATATTTCCAATGAGCTGTGTTTTTAGTTCATTATTTGTACAGAACATTTTGGGAAAATTTGTGTTATGAATTTTTGTAAAATTAATCTTATATTGTAAGTTTTGTATATTTTACCAAAATGTGACACAAAAAGTGTCTCATTATTTGCAAACAGTTCATCAGAGGCACTGACATTTTGCACACACGCAAAAAGAATCTCTTAGTGTAAAATTCATTTGATGTACCCTTTAATCCGTACTTCTTCCGCATTTTTGCTAGGAACCATCCTAAGTCCTCCAAAATCTCACAAGCTGCTGTAATCCAATGGCTAATGTTTGTTTCCACACAGATGTGGTGACAGCGTTCAGCGGATCGAGCAATCACCCCTGGGTGGAATCTTCTTGTGCACCCACGGAGGCTCCAAGCACAGCCCCAGTGGATGCCGACGGACTTACCTCTCCCAGCGAGACCTCCAAGCTCACATCAATCACCGTCACAACAGGCATCCGTCATCCGGCCAATCAGCCGCCCAGCCCCCGAGCAGTGATCAGCCTGGCCGGCACGAACGACCAATCGGGGAGGACCCCCGCACGGCACGCTACACCACCGGCCCAGAAGCTTACAGCGGTCCGGTTACCCAGCAACACTTGCACGACCGCATGCCTTATGAGGCCGAGTCCACGGACATCCCGGATTCGCCCACAGCTCATGGGGAGTACGGAATGGAGCGGGTACAAGTGAGGAAGTCCAACCTCATCACAGTACCCATTCAGGAAGAGAAGACCTACAGTGGGCACGAGCAGGGACCCCCACCACCCCAGCCAACCCACCAGGGGCACCAGCTACCACCCCCTGCCGTGACTTACCAGGGTCAGCAACCCATTCCCCAGCATCAAGTCCCCCCTCCACCCCCTCCCCAGTCCCCCATATACCCAGTCCAGGGGGTACCACCTCCTATGGTTCACCCGCCAGCCCCTATGCAATACTCGGGCGTGGCAGTCCGGCCCATTATGACAGCTACCCCAGTGGTGCACCAAGCACCTCCCCCAGCTCAACAAGCTGTTCCTTACTCGGCCGTCCACGTCCCTACCATCCCCCCTACCGTGTCCATCCCAGGACCTGTGCCCATGTACAGCACCGCGTCCCAGCCACATTACACCCCATCCACCCCCGAGCCGAGCCCCTCGTTCCAGAGTCCCAGCGCACCACCCCCGACATCGGTTCCAGGCTGGGCTCCCGGGGTGTCTATGGCCCCACAGAGTATGGGCCCCATGCAACCCATCATACCGGGTCTCGCCCCACAGCCTGCAGGGGTTAGGCCCGATATAGGACCCCCTCCACCTCATGGGCCGATACCCGACCCTGTCCGCTACAGACCGCCATACTACCAACATCAATAAATCTGCTATGGATGGACAGTAGATGACATAATGTAACCACTTACAAGAACTCTGAATTGCGGACCTACTAGATGCTCAATTCTTGTTCAGACACGTATGGAGCGAATATTAACACCCCTAGTAATTTTCAGCTAAATGTGCACAATCTAAAGAGAGTTTTTACATGAGTGCCTGATATACGGAAGGTATAGTCTGCCTAACTCTCTATGACTGTTGAGGGGGCACTTTTGACAGTGTTCATTTTACCATTGAACCTTCTAGCTCTTAAAAAAACACACAACCTCTGCAGGCATGGGTTATTTTAGCTGCAGGATAGCAGCTCAACCAATCTTCATGTCTCTCTGTTAGTCAGTTAGTTAGTTAGGAACAAACATTGAAAGCCAGTGACTTTTTGTATAAAAATTGCGTTCCCTGTGGTTTATTTTCATCCAGAAAAAAAATATATTCCTTTTCTAAATTGCTATTTTTCTAGCAATACAAAAGTTACCAACCTCAGAAAAAAAAGGCCCACGTTTAGTTATTGAATTATTAATTTACAAATTTTGTATTACCTTTGTATTTCTTGCGGGTTAGGCTGGTTCTGTAAGGTCGGCAAGGGTTTTTTTTTCACTGAGAGGACACCAGAAAAAAAAAGAAGGGAATAAAACATTCAAATTGAAAACTTTTTAGAAAAAAATTATTTTGTCGAAAGCAATCAAAGGGCATAATGTTTCAGTCCTAGCAGCTTTCTTCTAAGACCAATATTTCAGATAAATGTAGATCTCTGAATTGGAACATTTTTTGCTAGGAAAAACAAACTGTTTGGTTTTCTGCTCCAGGATATTGGAATAAAATAAAAGTCACAACAATTATTGTGTGATTTGTATACATTTTGTCAGATTTGTTTCTATACATGTAAACATTCATAAGAACCTGATACAAGTCATGTACATGTATAATTGATTTCCAAGTAAACACATTATTTCCGGTCCAAATTTCACCAATTCTTTTTTTAGACTGTACACTACTGAGCAGGATGTTGTGGGATTAAATCGAAGAGACCAGGGCTAAGCTCGTGAAAAGTTCCCCCACAAGCACCAGGAAAACACTGATTACACTTACTATGAAATACTTCGGCAATGGGAAAACCCCATATTGAATTGATATCACCTGGACGTAAACAAAACTTCCTTCATAAATAATAATGAGCCGTTTGCATTATTTCACCAGATTTGATGGAAACAATTTATAAAAACTTTGCCTTTGTCTCCAGCTTTGACTAGAATAGTTTAGAGAAACCATTTAATATTCAAACAAAATCGAAGACACCAAACTGTGGCCTCAAATTAAATTAGTTGGGGTTTATACAGCATACAAGCCGTATTCTTAAAATTGGGGCCCAAACTCATTCGGCAAGACACCTCAACCAACCAAGTCGAGATTTTGTAAACCTGTGTAGCGCCCTCTATCTAATGACTCAGTTCAACCCACAAACCCCGTGACGGCTGTTTGCGCGACGTGACAATGCAGTCCTTTTTATACTGCGACGACAGGGGAAACCCCTGGCTGATGTTGCGAAACGATGTGGGATTTCCGTTACCTAGTCAGACTCTGAAATTAGCTTAGCATTTTTCATTCAAGTATAACAACAGTACCTTCGTAATTCTCACTTTGGCTTTTACCGTCATGCTTCCTGTCTCAAAAGTGATGTACATCGATTCAACTCAATAAACTTGTAAGTAAAATTTCAATGCAAACCAATGGAGCTCAGCTCCATAGCCCTGAGAATGCTCACAACACGGCATCTTTTTCATTATCTTCTGCTGTATTGCGTCAATTTGTGACTTGATCGTGATAATTAAAAACAGTGTAAATATAAACTAAACAATGAAATCATCTTTCAAAATTTGCTGTTGAATGTTAATTGTGCTAGTCTAGCTGGAGTTACCTCAGCCCTATATTTTATGGCAGTGTATATTTTGCCGGAGACGGCAAACCTTTAGTAAACGTTAGTTTGCCGGATATGCACTGAACATGCGCAGTTACTGTTTTTTTGTACTTAAACATTTTCCGGTGACAAGTTTTAGTCTGGCTCCATGCCAAAATTATCGTTGTTACCTCGTATTCACAAGATGGGATTCAGACTAGTCCGAGTAACTTGGACCCAACTTATCGCCTTTTTTAACATTTGGACATGGTCTGGCGATATCGCCAGACCATGTCCAAATGTTAAAAAAGGCGATAAGTTGGGTCCAAGTTACTCGGACTAGATTCAGACCATTTTATAATTTCGGACTTTATTTCCCTTTTAAAAAAAATCCTCCAGAGCCACAAATCTGAAGAAGAAAATGTAATACTCTGCAAAAAATGTTTGAGACATGTTAAAATAATAAAAGAAGAATATTCTTATTTATTTGGGGCTGAGAAAAAAAAACCTTAAAAATGTGGTGCGGTCGGAATCGAACGCGAGTCATCCCGCTTACTAGAGCCTTAGCGTAACCATAACACCAAACGTGCTACACAACTTTTGGTGGGAATTTAATACATCTTATAATTCAGCCCTATTTTAAAGAGTACAGCGCCCTCTGTTGATATGGATTGCCGCCGGCAAACCTTTAGTAATCGTTAGTTTGCCGTCATTACCTCCGGCAAAATATCCACTATCATATTTTATCATTGGGTTGTCATAAAATACATGTATAGTCTATAGGGCTGAGGTAACTCCAGCTAGTGCTAGTCCTTTACAAATTTGATGTAATTAGGCCTGCCAACTCTCACGCATAGAGCGTGAGACTTGCGCATTTCAGGTTATTCTCACGCTCTCACGCCCACAAGGGATTTCTCACGCAAAAACAAAATAAAAAATAAATCAATTAAGTATTGAAGAATCCAATACAACTTTTAATATGTTCTATCCTGTCCCAGCATGTGTGGCAGGTTTTCTGGTCGAGTGACGAACGATAGCAGTCTGTCATTGCCGTTCAATTTTAGGATGACTGTCTGGTATTTACATGTTCCATCTCATGCATGTGTGCAAATTTCTCACCGTGTTCCACACACGTACACAAAATGATTTCTCATCGGGGAAAATCCCTCAGCACGCAATACACAGCAGCGGTGTCATAGCAAAATGGAACCCCACATATTTTCCAAGCGATTTCGCATTCCTATAATATCAGGACTCCCAGATAATGATGATCTTTTGCTCCAAAAAAGAAAAAAAATGATTTAAAGTGGTCAGATATTACCTCAGATCGCACAACAGAACGTCTAGAGTCCAAAATTGTTGGGGGCCCTTTAAGTGGGCCCCAAACCCCAAGCCGTTAGGGCTTCGCGCTTACTAGGCTCCATCGCCAAATTCTTATTCTCACCTCTCACTCAAAATTGGCAGCCTTGGTAATTTAAACGGGAAAAAAATTGTGGACTGAGCAAGGCAACCCATTTCATTCAAAACAACAATAGTGCTTTTACTTAGACAAAAATCTTCTCTGTTTATTCAAATTTAATGAGCTTGTGATATTAAAATATACAGACTGGAATTGATTGTTAAAAACTGTGTTTGAGTGTCTTTATGAACGTTGGAACTGAGAACTTGCAGGGATTCGCATCACAGACATTTGCTAATGTTTTTGTTAACTTACAATGATTGAAATAATACTAAAATAATAATACATAGGGGTGTTTTGTCTTACATTATGTAGTCTCCTACTATTCCTAGTCTAAACATTTGTGACTGTCAGTACGGTGTATGATGAGATGTGAGCCTACTTATGCTTGTACCCATCTTATCTAGATAAAATGAAATGTATTTTATAAACTTAAGTTACTTTCGTTTTCCCATTCACATCATGAATACCAGTAACCATGCCAAGAAGGAACAGTCCTCCCACGCCCACCACTCCGGGCAACTCCGCCCCCGGCTCGGACACCTCCGAGGGCGACTTTGTGATTCTCCCCCGGCCCTCGCTGGACACCAGCACGGCCGGCACCCAGCAGGCCGACCTGCAGCTGCAGTCCCAGCTCTCGCCCACCTCTGGGCAGGTGAACGGCGGCACGAACATGGTGACCATGATGCAGTACGATCAACTGGTCAACACGGCACGGGGAATGAAGGAAGAAAACAACATGCTCAGAGGTAGCGCTCAGGGCGTTTGCCTGTATACCGTCGTGTATACTGGGTCAACGTCCACTGGGCCACTATGTCATAAACCCCAGATCCGACCCCGACTTTGGCCGATTCTCCCTGTTACGCCCTCCCTTTACTTCAACCATGCTCTCCCTTCAAACCTCGACAACCTCTCTGACCGATTCTGCAACAAGTATTAATTGAAACTCACCGGTGAGTGCAGAAATTTCGGGCTCAAATTGGTGGAACACCGACACTACCACCATCATGCCCGACTGCCGTGATTGTCTGGTTTGCGACGGCGCGCAGGTTCATTTGCACCACCGTCATGTCAAAATTCACCTTTCCGCGCATCCTAACAAACCGAACATTCAATTTAATGAGGTGCTTTGTTGCTGAGGCGATACTTAAATGTTCTGTTTCTCTGCACGAAAGTTGACATTACAGTGGCGCAGTTCGGGTGATTTACAATACAGAATACTGCCCAAAAAAATTGCCACAGACAGAGGGGGCAATTTTCAACTCTGCAGTTTCTGGAATTGCGCCCATACATGAGTACATGTATTTCCTCATCCTTGAAGAGGTATTTCTCTAAATATTAATCTAAGCCTTTTATTAAAAAACATTCAAAAACCGTGGTTATCCATTGAAAAAATGAACTCAAAAATTCAAAAGCTTGCACGTTCACCAAAATTAATTTTATATTGCTAATCCAAGGAATATCAACGTTTTCCATTTTCGACTCTTGGCATTTTATAGTATTTATGCTGTCGATTGCAACCTTTCTGTATTGCAAATCGCCCGAATTAAACCTGCGTGCCGTCGAAAACCAGACCATCACGCCAGTCGGGCCTGATGGTAGTGGTGTCGGCGTTCCACCAATTGGAGCCCGAAACTTCTGCACTCACCGGTGAGTTTCAATTAAACGAAGTTGCAGCACTCTGTTCTGAAATGTTGTCGCTGTTTGCTGGGAGAGTACTGTTTGAAGTGATTGGTGGCCGTAACTTGAGAGAATCGTTCCAACTTTGGGTCGGTTCTGAGTTTAGGCATAATGTTCTCGCGGGACGTTGCCGCAGTACACACCACGGTATACAAGGAAACGTCTTTGAGGATAAAGAAGCCATTGGGATGGTCAGCTCAGAGGTTTGTCAACCAGGCAAGAACCGTTTTTTAAATAAGACCAATCATTCAGCTTTTGAAGTGAAGCAAGTATTGGTGAAAAACTGCAAGACATGGTATTTGTTAATTTATTTATATATTTATTTCGACAACTTCCAACAGTGCAAGTGTAAGAACAGGATGGATAAGACTTGGTAGAAGATGTGGAAGGAAATTGCAGTTTTAGTGGTGGGAGGAAAATCCCAGAATGATATTGTAGGGGAAACACACAGAATCAGGTAGGGACTGAAAACCCAATCCACATATTGGCCCATGCAGGGTTCGAACCCGGATCACAGCAGTGGACCTGGCTCCCCTCTGTTTTGTTTTGTATTACTGCAATGACTTTGGAACCAGCAACGCTTCATAGCCAAGTTTTTTTTTATCAGTTGATTATACAAATGTTTACAAAAACGTTGAAAGTGTTGAAACTGTTTACTTGCTGCAATGTTGAATCTTTCTTTGAATGTTTGTGTAATTTAAGTCCAGTTCATAAATACATTCGAAGCGCGTCCACCATTATTGGCGACATGAATTTCGCTTCGCACAAGCTTTCGCGTGAAGTATGAACCGGGCTTCAAACCATTTCAACGGATGTTTATAGTCTACAATTTCAGGATTTCCTGGGTTTTTTTTTTAATGCATAACATTTCCAGAGTCATTTCCTTTTGTTGCATGTCTTAAAAAAATGTCGGAACCCCACTTACAATCCTGCATGTGGTCAAACATTTTGTTGTATTCGCAAAAAAAAGGGAAAAAATTGATAATTTTCTCAATATTGGAAATGAATGATATCTGAACCACATGTATACTGTCCATTGTCAAGAGGACGGTATGAATAAGTATGAGTTTAATTCATTTTTTTTCTTCACACAGGCCAGTTGACCGACATGGTGCAAACGATGGAAGCCCGCACCAAGGAGTTTGTCCAGATGAAGAGCTGCAATCGTCAGGTCACGGAACGCTGCAAGGAGATTCGTAAGCTAGCAAACCTGGAGGTCACGAGGTTGCGCAACCAGGTCACGACTTTGGAGGAACAATTGAAACGGGAAGCAGAAAACCAGGTATGAGGACGCAGGGTAAATTAAAGGACCATAATAATCTGGGTCTGTAAATCGTCTGCTTAAAAAAATTATTATGCCGAGTTGTAGTCAAGCAAAACACAAACAAACACAAGTTGGGTCACCCAATCTTGTTTTACTATACTCTCGAGGACAATGCTTTGTGTTTCCCTTTGTCCCTGTAGTATAACACTCTCCCATAGACTAAGCACACAAACTTACTACAGAGGACCGTTTTGAACAAAAGACCCAATTCTCAAGGACTGAAAGGATCTGTTGTTCTCCCTTTGTGTGTCGGTCCTGGGGGGTTATGTAGAACACGTAAACAAGTAACAGAGGATGAACATTTGAATAGCTTGCGACTTGACTTGAGACTGACTGATTCCTGATCGACTTGCAATTAACTTCAAAACACAAAAAGCAACCATCATGGAAAAGATGAAAATTGACAGATGGTGCAAATTTTAATATTTAGTGGTATGCTCTGCATTGCTCCTTTAAGTTAATTTTTGTTTTTAATGTACAGATCGAAACCGTGCAAAAGTAAGTTACAGGGAACTGTGTACATGTACATGTACACATGTCTACAGAAAGCAACCTGGAAAAATAGTCAAAAGTTTCCCATATATTTTGTCATGAATTTGCAGTCCTTTTTTCAACGTGAAGTTTTCTTCCAATACAGGATAAAACTGAGTTACAGTCTCAAAACGAAGAGTTGAAAAAGACGGTTGGTACTTTGGAGGCTAGAATTCAACTGCTGGAGACGGAGTTGAAAAATAAGACAGAAGAGGTAGGTGTGAAAAATTTAATGTTTGAGTTTTTGGATGCGCAATACTCAGTTGTCATATCGTGTATTCAAAGTTTGAAGACTCTGCGATAAGACGGTTTATGCCAGTTGGGATGTTGCAGCAAATTCCTCATAAAAGTAAGCTATGTTCTAATATTCCAGACGGAGGAATGTTATTTTAAGAGATACACTATTTTAGAACAATTTGTAGGTTCGGCTTTGAGTTGATAACTTTTATGTTTCATCTTGTTGCAAGGTCTTGGTGTGTATGGAACCTGGCAAATCTGACTCAGTCAGTGAGGAAGCTTTGGTACAGACACCGGTCTCCCTGCTGACACAACTCAAGAGAGACATTAAGGACGTCCAAGGCACCAGAGCCGGCATCCAGGCCAACATGGCCGATTTGGAGGAAGCTTTTCAGAAGTCCGCCGCCGAGCTGAAACATTACAAGCACAAGTCTGACTTACTGGCGCTGGAGAAACAGGACTTGGTGGCCCTCAATAACGAGCTACAGACTAAGGTGTCGATGTACAGCAGTGGGGGATATGATGGCAGTCTGGATCAGTCGGTGTCAGCAGCGGGATCAGAGAGAGATACCCTGCAGGGTGCAGAAGACAGCCAGTTTGAATTGCCTCCAACTCCCTTCAGTCCCGGCCAAGCCATAAAGAAGTCCAACCTGGCCCTCCAGGACATCTTGCTCCAGCTGCAGTCCGAGCGAGACAAGGTCGCTGGCCTGATGGAGGAGTTGAAGAAGGAACGAGAAGACCGGAACAAAACAGAGACCACACTGATGGAGCAGCTTCATGCTAGGAGCGGGGAGCATAGCATAGCCCTGGAGGAACTGAACAAGAGGCATCAGGAACAGGTGGAAGAGCTGGTCAGGAAGGTTGATGAGCTGTCTGTAGCCAATCAGGTGGGTTACAAGCTGGGAGCAAGTTAGGGAGAGCTGCTAAAGCTGAAAAAAAAAATGCTTAGCAAATTTATGTGATGAGGGAAAAATCAGCTGACAACATAGTTTTTTAACATCTTCATCTTTTTAAATAAACTGTACTCTCCCTCTTTACCGTACCGGTCAATTACAAGTCAAATATTGACTTTGTCCTTGTTCATTAGAATAGGTTGCCACATGGCCTATGATTACCTTGCGATGACATTATGATTGCCTTGTGATGACTTACGGTTGCCTTGTGATGAGTTAAGATGGCCTTGTGATGACATATGATTGGCTTGTGATGACTTACGGTTGCCTTGTGATGAGTTAAGATTGCCTTGTGATTACTTATGATTTCCTTATGATTGTGCCTTGTGATAACTTGTGAGGACTTGATTTTGATTCTACTCATACTGACCACACATTTTAACCTTTTTATGATCCCCCAGGAGCCCCATCATAGCATGGAGCTAAAGCAGCAGGTCAGAAGTCTTGTCTGTGAACTCCAGGAACGCGAGAATATCCTTCAGCAGAAGGAGCACTCAGTGGCCGACCTCCGAGCAACGTAAGATCTTTTGTCATTCAGAGGTCCTTCTGTGTTACTTTGTGTCTGTACAAGGTGCAAGTCTTGCCAGTTCATGTTTACTTTTCCTGTGAATGTCTTGGCACTAAACACTAGGGGTGTGCACTTACGGGTAGTACGTTAACCGTGTACTCGTTTAAAAAAAAATCCATGGGTACCTGGGTACCCGTTAAAGAGACCCAACTAAATAAAGCAAGATGCAAGTGTGTGCAGTGAGCATAGCTTTACGGTGTGAAACTGCAACTTTCGCGAGCGTCATAAATGTAAAATATGTTTTATTTTTCCACGTTGCCTGGCTTCTCATGTTGAAAATTCCCCAAAAATGACAATCAAAATCTTTCTCTTTCATTGCCCGAGAACTTACTTATTTGTACAGTGGGTTACAAGTGCCGGATCCTAAAATCTGGAACCGGTTCCTGACATCAACGGTCGGGTACTCGGGTACCCAGTTCCAATGCACGGCCCTACACTGACTAGTCTAGTAACAGACTCCAGTGTTAGAATTTACCCAATTGTGCATCTAGTTGACTGATTGACAGTTGAGGTAAAAATTGTTCATTTTTTTTTTTATAGTTATCAGTTCGCAATATTCTCAATATGCTGTAACTTGTAATGATTTCTTTCTTTTGGATAAGGCCAAAAAAAAAAGTCTCCGGTTTCTGGTATGGAGCTTGCCCAAAAAGTGGTGCAGCGACGCGGCTTTTTTTTTTTTAACCTGATTTTTTTTGCTTCAAATGTCGGCTGACGACTGCAAATGGTGCCCGACTAAATTTAGTGCAAATATATGGGAGTCCAGAGAGGCCACATAAAGCTTATTCTCGACCATAACCCAATCTAAAAACACGTTAAAATTGTGCAGCAGCAGGATTCCAGTCAAACCAGTGAGTTTGGCGGTTTTGAGACATCATCTTTCATTGAAAAAAAAAACTTTTTCATTTTGCCGACGCACATGGCTACGGCGACTCGCACGCATACCAGAAACCGGAGACTTTTTTTTTTTGGCCTAAGCCCAGCCAGGACACAAAAGAAATGCAAAAAATAGGTTGTTGCACATGTGTTATAGATCCTGTACATGGTGCTAAGATGTACTGTATTCCTGTAATATCTCGCAGAAATTTAAGTCAACTTCAAAAATTAGGCAACATATATGAAGTTTTATTTGATCAACATTTGGATGATGACATGCAACTACACACGTAGCTCATGTTTATTTTCAGCAATAACACAAGTTTGAACTTTGATACATGTTCATTCTTGCACGAGAAATTGCAGACCCTTCTGTATTGCCCCTCTGTTTTGAAAGGTCTCATTTCTCGTCATGGATTTTCCCTATTGTTGCATTGTTTGTGTTCAGATACCATCAACTAGCAATAAACTGGTATTGCACATAGGGGTTGTTTTAGGGGAATCCCCTTGAAACCACATGGCCAATCAGATATTAACTTGTGTTAGTCAGATAGCCATGCAAGTTTGTTTCATTTTTATGATAATGTTATTTCAAACAGTATCGAAAGAGCATGAGTGCTAACTGGTGTAAATAAATTGAATACAAAACACACCCAGTGGAATGTAGATTGTAGGCTAGTAGATTGTGCTACTTGGGACGATATATACATGCATGTATCCAAGGGCGGATCCAGAACTCAATTTTTTTGGGGGGGGGGGGGCCAAAAACAAATTTGGTCACCCAAAAGTGTGTCCAAAATATTACGGCGTGGGGTTCAGGTAGATGCTCTGTGGTACGATCTGAGGCAATTTCTGACCACTTTAACCAATGTTTTTTTTTGTGGAAACGATGGTGGTTTACTCATTCCCTGCCTTTATTGCGAAGTCATTATTATTATTATTATTATTTATTCGGCCAAATTACAAGGTACAACAAGCAATTCACAAAAGTAAACAAAACTAAACAAAAACAATCCAATCCAAGCTGGCCAGGATTGACAAAAGTATAATAAAACACTGTGACTCGAAAGCCTGTCAATCCTAACTTGAATGGTACATGTAACATACAAAATATATTAAAAATTAGGTATAAAATTCAATGAAAAATAAGACCGCCTTAAAAATAATACTTAAATTAGATTTAGAAAATAGAAAAATAGATTTAAAAGATTACAGTTACAGTTTTCTCAAGGCAAGAATAGCTGGCATAAAAACCTAACAACTGCAGATTATACAAGACTGGGGAAAAACAGACAAACAAGCCAAAACAAAACTAACAAACACCCCAACAAATTAAGAAACAAAACAAGACAGGATAAGACTAAACAAAATGTAACAAAACAAGTCAAGACAAGAGACAAGACAAAGAGACAAGACAAGACAAAACGAAACAAAACAAGACAAGACGAAACAAAACAAAAAACAAACAAACAAACAAGACAAGACAAGACAACAACAACCACACAACAACATAAAAACACAGAACGAAAGATTGATACAGTAAACAAAAAATTTACAATGAAATAAAAATAAATAATAATAATAAGCAATAAAAACCTGATAGAGAAAAGTAAAAAATACAGTTGACATGCGAGAAAAACTACGTCAAAAAAATATCCATCCAATGAACAAGAAAAGCAACAACAAAAGTATCAATAACAAAATAAATACAAGTAATAATAAATGATAATGATAAAAAAAAAAAAAAAAAATCGTTTTTGGGGTGCCATGGCCCCCTTTGTTCCCCCTAGATCTGCTCTTGTATATATCTAACTGCTGTTGCTATGAGATTGACCAACCAGTTTCCAGCATTCATAAGAAAATAAGGATTCATACATAATTCATAATACAGTTACACAAAATTACATATTTTTTCGTTAAAAAGGGGAGTTTAGTTAATGATTGACTGTGTGCTTGGCCGGTGTAGCGTGAATATCCGACTCCATGAAATGTGGACTCATTGGTAGTACTGCGCACGCGTGAGTACGATACTATGCTATTTTTAGGATCGTTTCAGGAGAGTGACCTGTCACGTGCGAGGGATCAACCAATAATAGGGAAATAGGGGTCCGATTTTCATAGGAGTCGGATTTTCATGTGACACCGGTTCTAAACACTCTGTTTCAGACCGGTTGGAGTCTGAATGCTAATAATTACCCTCGCCAACTCCCATTCCTAAATACCTTTTCAGTTAAAAAAAAAATCGAAAGTTTTCGGTCCAAAATTCAAAACAAGTCAACAATTTTAAATTTCAACAATTTTACTTTGTGTGTTTTAAACACCCCTCTAGCTATATTATGGTAGTGTCCCATGTCGTAAACAACTTCTTATCATGGAGATTGGCGCTTGCGTCGTGCATAACTATGCGCGATGTCTAATACATGTACAATACATTTAGGTGTTTCAGTTTTTCAATAAAGTTGCATTTGGGAAAGAATATTTGAAATTACATGCAATGCCAAGAATGAACTTCACCCCACGTAGAAGAAACACCAATGCTAAGCATTGAATACTTTTTGTGTTGTGGAGAAATTCGCAGAACACTTGTGAATTGCATGTGCTGGACATACATGTACATAGCAACAACAGATTCCCACTATCTGTTGAGTATAGAAAATAATCTTCTGCATTGATATTGGCAAAGAGTCCTGCAAAAAAAAATTGTGGCTGAATGTTTTGGAAGTAAATTTGGCCAATTTTAAGGTGCTACTCAATGGCTAGAAGCAAAATAGCGCCAACTTAGCGAAATAACAGACAAAGTGTGTTAGCTATTAATAGTTAAGACATGCAAACAGTTGTGTATGCATGGCATTTATTTAAAGCACATTTCTATTTAAATATTTTTTGTAAATTAAATTTAAAGCAAACTATATTCCCATGAATTTATTATCGTCTACACTGTGCTAAGCCCCCAAAAAAGGTTCTACTTATGGTTTCCCTACCTATCCTATTCTGACAGCCCCTACCCTAATTTTCTTTAGGGGAAAAATGAGGAAAAACCCCCTAAACCATCATTTTTAACCTTTTACCCTTGACTACACGCAAACGCCTCCATATGATCGTACACTAAACAAATTGGCCAAAAAAATAAATAAATAAATAAATGCCCTACCTACATGTACCTACCTTATTTTTGAATGCCATGTAATCGAAAGCAGAACTATTTTTTTTGGCCTTAGTGTGTATCAGAAAATCTTATTCTCATCATTGTTATGAAATTTGCCCTGGTACATGTATTGCCACCCTCATTGCGCATGTGCATATTTGACCTCGTATTTGACCTTCACTTTTTCACTCCTTTATATAGAATCTAAAGTTCAATTTCATTCACTTCGGTTCATCCATTCAATTCTATTCATTGAAAATATTCAATAACTATTGTATTCAATTCCTTCAGTTTATATCAATAGCAAAACCTTGGTATTTTCAAGTGCAAAAAGCATTGGTACTTAAATCTTGCTTTTTACAAGAAGTGCTTCTGCTTTACTTACGTATTTTCTGAGGAACACAACATACTCTGTTCATTTGAACATCATGATTATCATGTTAAAGGCATTTTTTTATAGGCTTATTTGCATTTATCCCCAAAATAACTTACCAAATTATTATCCAAAAGCTTACTTGGATTAAAGATCGAACTGGTACTCAGCACCCCGTGAAATTATTTCGTCTGGCTTGCTGTCATTTAGAAGAAATGAAAAAATGTAGGTGATCTCCAACGATCAGTCAATTGACCGATTTTTCGAAATAGACAAAATAGTGTTTTGTGATCAAAAGGTTGCACATACTGGTTTTTAACTGTTTTCTGGAAAAGTGTAATATCCACTGATCTGAAACTTCAACGGTTTAGGTTTTGAGCATTCTTCTTTGGAATATGGAGTGGTGGTGTTATCAGAAACGAGACAAAATGCATGAACAGCAAATGATCCTGCATGTATGCCTTTGATGTTTTCACATCTCCAGGAATGAAGCCCTGAAGAGTAAGATCTCACTGTACCATGACGAGTTGGAACAAGTCCGGAGGCAAGACTCACAAATGATTGAGACGTTACGGGAAGAGCTTCAGAGGCAGCAGGACCATTACCAGTTGGAAAAACAGAAGGGACTGATGGAAAGGTATTTCTTAGTTATTTATTTGAACCTTCCAGAATTACCCCAAAATATCCACCAGTGTGACGGAGCCCAAATTGCACCTTCTTTTAAGTTCTGTGGATCGCAAAGTTGAAAAATGGACCCTCCATGGCAAACTCTTGGTGGCGCACTGCATTGTGAGTCGCCCGAAGTATTACATGTAGACCACAGACACAGTATTTCAGACATGTCAGAGGTTTCATTTCTCTCACTTGTCCTTGTTCAACCATACATTGAACAGATTCCTGCAGTTTATACCCTTTGTGGTTTATGTGATAAGTACAAGATTTCAACAGTACAAGCCTATCACCATTGTGTCTCTCTTTGTTTTATTTTTAACTCCACATCACGTTTAGAATCAACCATGACAAGGTGATGGATGAACATCAGCACCTTAAGCAGGAGTACAACCAGTTGTTTGCCGACTATGACAAACTGAACCGCATGTTTGAAGAGCAGAGAGTCAGAAACGCACAGGTAGGCGGCCTAGAATGACTCGGGTTACCAGACTTAAGATACACTCAGTTAGTTGGACATTGTTATCAGATTTTTTCCAGAGGTTACAAGTTTGAATCCTAAATGTTTTCCACTTTGTTTTCTAATGACATTGTGATGCAATAGTTGGTATTGGAAAGATGTAAATGTGTAGATTGGAGACAGTCCTTCATCAATAGCATTTCATAAGCACTGCATGAAAAACAAGCCTTCCAGACTTTCCATATTCTAGAGGCATCGCCCGGTCTTGAAAAAATGTTCGTATGTGATGTGACAGGCAGGAGATCAGTACACTCTAATTAGACAATCCGCATCGTTTTCGTATTCTCCATAGCTAGGGATTAGTGAAGGAATGTTCACGAAGCCCATGGAGTCGTGGTTGGTGCTAGGCTAATTTATGTGTGGAGCGGCCCCATGAAGTCAGCATGCGGAATTAAGGGAGATTGGGTTTAGAGTTAATCTCTTGTCTGTCAGCTCCATTCATTAAAGAAATACCTCGCAGGCAATACCATTTTGTTCCCAACTTTTCCCCACAGGCAGTGAATGCGACCGCTCTGCGTGAGCTCGCCGAACAGCGAGACAACCTAACGGCCCAGCTGATGTCGGCAGAGGAAGCCATCGGAGCTAAACAGGACCAACTGGACAAAGCTCAGAAGGAACTCCGGGAGGCCAAGACCAAGCTTGAGACTATCCCAGTTCTTGAAGCACAGGTGAGAACGGAGATCAAATCACCCGTGTCAGACGGGCTTTCCAGAAAATACAAATCTTGTCGGTAGTTCTGGTAAATAAAGACAGTAATACAAACAATAAAAGAAGGAAAGGAACCAATCTACAATACCAGCTTGAAAGACATGCTGACATCATGTCCTATTGAACGGAAGGGAAAGTATGACACTGTCTTGTCAACTTTGAGTGTCATGTGGCAGCCAAAATCATGATAACGAACAACCGCTATAATGAACATTATATTTAGTGGACCCAATCGTGTTTGTTAAAGTGCCATTCTACTGTTCATGAAAATGGTAATGTTTAAAACAGGAAAGACTTCTGTTGAAAGACTGACCGTTGTAGGTGTTCAGAGTTGCACAACAGTTTGGTCAACTGAAGATTAAAACGTGAAGATCGCCTGTCTGAAACGTAAATCATTCCTGATGTTTGACGTGACACCTAACGCTAGTCGGGTGTTGCCCCACAGACACTGGATGCCGGAACGACACTGAATTCACGACCTGTTGTGTTTTCAAAGTGACATACATCTCAAATGTTCTGCCGATCATAACAAAGTGTTGTTTTCTTTTACCTAGGCCGAAATCTTCAAGAATGACTTCGACGCGGAGAGGGCAGCACGGGAGAAGGGGCACGCAGAGAGAGAAGCCCTGATGGCCGAGCTGGAAGCCCTGCGAGAGGAGAACCAACGGATGCAAGAGGAACTAGCGTCCCTCACCAAGACGCAGCTCCAGCAGATGCAGCATCGCCACGGCAGCACAAGCAGCGGCAGCGGCGAGACAATTTACGAACGCTACATCTCGCGCCCGTTCGGCTTAGGGGGCTCGCAGCCCAGGAAGAAGAACCGGGGTTACGGCAGCAGCGCAGAGTACGGGAATGCCGAACCTTTCGATGATAACTATGAGGTCATTCCTGACATGAACCCCGGAGTGGACGTGGACCAGGTTGGACGAGGGACTTATGATGAGATCGGCCCGGGCAGAATACCTGCAGGAATGGCTGGTGGTGTACCTGTAAGTCAGAATTGATGTGTTTTTTAGAAGTTACTTCCTGACCTAATAAATGTTACGTTACACCTGCGCACTAATATTGAAGTCTGAATGTCTCCTGTCAAACCACTGTTGAACATCATCAAAAATGATGGTATCCATCGAGTGCATAACACATTGCTATATCAGGTTCAAACTGGGCAGCCAACCCCACAAGGTCAATAAAGAGGAGGTCAGGGGTTCGAGTTCCAACCGAGCCAGCTTGTGATTTTGTTCTCACAGAGTCTTGAGCAGCATGATGTATACAATGCCTATAAACACCGCTAAAAAGAAAGGCCACACTCATTGGAGGGGTCATAATTTTGAATTTGATCGTCTTATGATGACGTCATTTATACAGACCTTTGGGGAATGGTGTTAGCTACATTTTGATACCCCGTTGGCACTGTGCAGTCGATGGGGGCATGTGTGGCTACACCTAGCAAATTCTCCTCGCGTACTCTTTAAATTTGCGACTTTTCAATCTGCATCATTTTTTTGGCGGTGATTACCTTAATCGTGTTGGTTCAAGGCAATACCCAAATTTAAATGTCATAGGGATAGGGGTGAGTGGAGGGTGGCAACCAAGTCCTGAGATGGTGTAGCATAGGCTGCATCATCGCATTGCTTAGCGTCGCATCGTTTCGTAAATTACAAATAATTTCTAACCATTCTAATTTGTCTTTCCTTTTCCCTCCGTAGAACATGGACCAGGGCTATCCCCAGCGGCCGATTGCAAACCCAACCTGTCCCAAATGCCAGAACGAGTTTCCGGATATCGACACCCTTCAGATTCACATGCTGGATTGCATCAAGTAAAGAGACACAAACTCCTGCATCATATGCTACTGTGGCAGTGTGTCACTCAGAAAATCTCTTGGAAGCATAAAGGATTATTTGCTTCTCGTGCATTTCGTTCGTTTCTAATAATAACACCACTCAAAAGCCAAAGAAAAATGTAAAAAACAAAAACTAAACTGTTGAAGTTTCAGTGCAGTGGATGAGGCAAAAAAATTTAAAAAATTCTGCTTCCAGTTACCCTACCTACCTTGGTTTGACAGCCCCTACCTTAATTTTGTTTTTGGGAAAAATGAGGAAAAATCCCCGAAAACCATATGATCGTACACTAACAATTTGCCAAAAAAAACCCCCAAATAGGCTAATTTTCCCACTTACCTACCCTATGTTCAAATGCCATGTAATCGGAAGCAGAACACTTTTCAGAAAAGTGGAAAAATGCGTCTTGTTTGTGATACGTGGCTCTGTAGGATATTTTTGTTAAAGGAAATAAAGTCCGAAATTGCAATAGGTCTGATTTTCATCTCCTGAATATGAGGTCACAACGATGTAAGTATGGAACCAGACGAAGATATGTCACGGTAAAATTTTTAAATCTCAAAAACATTCACTGTTCGTTCGTTGCAGTGCCAGTACAACAGCAAAAACAATCGGGGACCGTTCACGATCAAATATACACTGCCAAATAGTGGTGGCACCAGACTCTAAAATTTGGGGGGCAATTGGGAGGCAAGGAAATATTTTTTGGGGGCAGTCAAAATTAAATCTGATGATATCCAAAATCTAAGGGGATAGTAAGAAAATTGACGTTGACTGCACACTATCTGTGGCGGTATAAATGCATGTGTGGCGTGTTTTTGTCTACCAAAGTACCGTACCAATGTTTATAATGCTTTCATTGGCCCAAAATGTGTCCACAGAACCAATGATTCATTCTCTATCTTCAACTTGTTATGAATCTTAACAGCAAAGAAAATAAATAAATATAATTAATCTATTTGTAGATAAAAGTGTTGGCGGAAAACTGGGCAAATCCCCCCTCTCTAACAGTGGCACATCAATTTTCTTCTCATAATTGGAATCAAACCTAACAAATCAGAAGACTTGAAAGATTTACCAAATTTACAACGTATCTTGTTTTGAATGTTGAATGTCCTAACAATGCTCTAACATATTTTTTTGTCAGTAAAAAGCTCATCGAAGCTTACAAGATGGAATATTGTGCATATTTAGTAGTGTATTCTGTAGAAAGAATCTCAAACAGTATATGTGAAAAGTACTAGTCGGAGAGCGCTGTGGCCCAATGGTTACAGTGTAATTGTCTCATGTGCTGTGGTACATGGGTTCAAACCCTGACGGGGAACATGGTGCTTGTGTTCTTGGGCAAGACACTTTACTACAATTGCCTCCCCCCCCACCCAGGAGTACAAATGGGTAGAGAGCAGAATCAGCAGATTGCGCTGATCTTGAGCTGCATGGCCTGATGCACAGGGGTAATAACTGTGAAGTGTTTCAAGACCTTTGATATAAAGTGCTATATAAGTACCACTTTGTAATTATTATTATTATTATTTAGATGAAATGTAAAATACTACTTACCCTAATTTACCACTCCGCATATACATGCATGAGCATTTCTTTTTTTTTCTTGGCATGTAAAACTGTAATTATATTAATTACAACCATAGATATGCTAGTCTGATTGACGAAAATGTCATAATGTTATTATTAAATGGACTGTACATATGTTTATCATACTACATTCAGTGTTAGTAATGGGTTATTAATTTGCATCTGCATATAAAAACTAAACTACGGCCAAATAATAGGACAAAATGTAAGATTGCAAATTTTGTTTTTGCTTAAGAAGGAATTTTTGTGATTTTACCCTCTTATGCAGGAATTCCATTGGTAACATTTTTTTCGATGTACCGTGTGGCGGCCATCTTGGATTTCAAAATGTTGTACAAGGTTTATTTTGCTGACAAACCCCGATGTTTTTGATACAAAGAAATCTTACAAAAACTCACACTATTAATGACGTACTACCAATGGATGGCAGCCATCTTGGATATATTTTGCTGCTTTAAATCACGAAAGCTAACTGGAAAGACTACGCTGACGATCTTAATGCCGCAATAATTCAACATTGAAGCGTCCCTGCGAATTATGACACATTTATAGAGCTGGTATAGAAGACGGCAAAAGAGAACATACCTCTAAGCTTTTTCGTGTCGCATGGCGTAACATCTGAGACTGTTGATCTCTACATGACATGGAATATAAACAACTATTCAGGACCGACTCCTTTGATGACAACACTATTCTTGCAAAAAAAGAGTCTTATTTCAGCCATATCGAAGCGGTACCAGCATTTATGGCAAAATCTTGTTGAGACCGCTGATATGACCCACAACAGTAAGAAAAGTTTTGGGCGTTTTCCGTAAACCGAGCAATTACATGTACCTAACTAAAGCAGATCAACACTACAGTACCAAGTTGTACGCCCGATGCTTCTCAATGGTAAATGTCCTTCTAGCACAAAGCAGCCAAGTCCTCAACTTAACTGTGAGTACTGCAAAGATGATCGAGGATTTACAAAGCCATTCTCTATGGAAGAAGTTGTTACCAGCATCAATACCCCTGACACCTGGCCTTGATGACATCTTCACAGAGCAGTTCAAGCAGTTTGGACAACAGACCTGTGAATGGCTGTATTCCAGTTCTACAACTCTTGTGAGACCACTCGGGAAAATACCAAAGATGTGGAGAAACACCAGAGTGATAGCCCAGACCATTGAAAGACTAAGCACCTGCAACAAAATCCTCCGAAAGCTTACCAGCTCAAAATGGGGAGAAAGTCCATCAACCCTGCGAACAACAGCTCTGGCTCTCATCTGCTCCTATGCTGCTGAATGTGCCTGCCCAACTTGGGAAAGATCAGCTCATGCTGATGAAATTGGACCCAATCTTCAAGGACAGCTGCCGATGTGTAACTGGATGTCTGAAACCAACCAACATCAGAGATGTGTACTTGCTAGCTGGGATAGCCCCACTTGATATCAGAAGAGTGGTAGCTAGCAAAGCCGAGTGGCAGAGACAACTTGAAGCCATGGATGATAGACACCCTCTCCATGGTCAAACCACGGCCGCCAGCAGATTGAGGAAGATCAAGGAAGAGCTTCCTTAGCAGCACACAACCACTTGGGACAACCAAAGAACCAGCTAGACTTGAAATGTGGAAGGAGACACTAAATACCACCCAACCCAATCCAAATACGGGCATACCACCACCTGAGATACTACCTCCTGGAGGCAAGGAACATGACAAAGATGGCAATGCCTCAACTGCCTCCTCACTGGCGTCAGTTGCTGGAGAGTTCTATGTCCAACTGGGGCCTCTACAGAGTGTCATGGCCTAGCGGTTAAGAGCACCGGACTCATGCTCTGGTGTTTCAGAGGCAACAGTGGCGTGCGTTCGAGCCCGCCGGTGGACACTTCGCCTTTAGCAAGGCACATAACCATTATTGCTTCGTCCTTCAGATGGGACGTAAAGCCGTAGGTCCCGTGTGTTGTGGAATACAATGCACGTAAAAGAACCCAGTGACACTTATCGCTAAGAGAAGGGGTCTGCCCCGGTGTTTCTGGCCTCCTGTGTAAACTCCCACACAGAGTAATAGGAGAAAAACCAACCAAGAACCAAGAACAAGCTGCTAATGTGGCACCAAACAAGTTGTTTGCTTGAGAGTTTGTATATGTCCAACTGGGGCTTCTACATCGGGCCAACAAGCTGGGAATGTGGTCTGAAACCCCTAACAAAACAGCACGTGCTTCAGTGCCCACTACTTCCGTATATATCTTGATAAAATCTGCTCCACTGAGGACCTGGCCCAAAACACAATTTGGTTAAGAAATATGTAATACACATGTGTTTTGTGTATTAGGACATGGTAAAAAAAGAATCCTTACTCCAGGCAAGTTTACAGGGACCTTACTGGGGCCCCAAGTTATTGAGCAAAATCAATCTAAAAATTGTGGCCATTTTTGAAATATTTTTACGTTGGCCGCCATCCATTGGTAATACGTCACTAATAGTGTGTTATATTTCTTTGGATCAAAAATACGGCATTTGTCACCAAATGAACTTAAGATGGCTTTCATAATCGAACTTATTGAGCAAAATAGGTCTAAAAAAGGCAACCATTTTTTAAATTGAAGACGGCCACCACATGGTGCATCGAGAAAACAAAATATTATCAATGGAATTCCTGCTTAGGAAGATATCTACCCAAAAGTCACAAAAAATCCTTCTTTAGCAAAAAAAACCCCAAACATTTCGTCCTTTACTAAAAATTATTGGTTGTGAAATATTTGCTTATAAAATTGTAGCTATTGGCCTTATCACATCATTATATATATTTACATTTTCACTCTTTAACAGTATTTCTGGCAAGAAATGGAGTAGCCTTTCAAGTTTTTCTCCTTTATATCGTTCATGTTCAGAAATAAGTTTATCGTAGATAACAAAGAAATGTCCCTATTCATACATTTTTCGTCTTATATATTTTTTGAAAGTAGTATCTTGGACATCAGTTATTCAGAAATGCAAATGGATACACAGAAAATTAATTTTTTTTTTGTAGCCTTGCAGAAATGAGCATTAAGAATTATTTCTTAAGCGGGAAGACATTAAAAAATAAATTAGTCAAAGTGGAACAATGTACAACAATTGTAAAAGTATACCCTTTCAGAAAATGTTATCTAAGGGTCATTCTACATTATATAATTATTCTTCTTTGGAATGTATATATTGGATTAAACACTTAAGTTTGTGATGTTTCGAACTGCAATATTTTGAAAATTTTGTCGACAAGGACTCTTTATTTAAAAGTTACCTTATATTCTCCAAACTGTCTTAAAACTCAGATGTACGAAGATTCAGAATGTAAATATTTTCCAATTTTTTTTTAAATGTTTTTTTGGGGGAGGACTTTAGGACTTGTATTCCTCAACAAAATATCTGTAGCCAGAGTTTATTAGTTCTACAGTAGTTCAGAATTTGGCAAACAAATGTTGGCTTATTTAAATCCAAATAGCACTGCTCACCTTTAAATTAAGAATTTCCTGAGCAAAGTTAACACTAGGGGTGTGCATTTATGGGTA